AATGGTATTCATTTCTTCAAAATTGATTTGGTTTGTAAAGATGAATGTTAGCTCAAATGTTAAAATTTTATATACTTTTTTTTTTTTATTATACAGACCCTGCTTAACACAGGTGATGTGTTCCTAGATAACAAAGTGTTAAACAAGGTCATTTTAATGTAGAGTAAATAGGAGAAAGGGAATACACACCAAAAATAAACAGATTTTACTTCAATTTTATAAAATAGATTCACAATAAACCTTTGAGTAACCAGTAAAATATTTATTTGAAAAGCAAATGTTTTCGACCGTATTCTTCGGCCTTCTTCAGGTTAAACGTTCCAAGGTTCTAAAAGCCATTGTGTTTAAAGATTTAAATGTTTTGGAACATACTCAATTCATTATGCGCATGCGTATCAAGCATTGCATAAACTATAAGGATGCGATTAATATTTCTACAGCTTGGAAGTTTGTTTTTGAAGGAGAAGGCTCCCACAACTCTATTTAATGTGTTTTCCACCATTTCATGTGTATGTAAAATAGTAAATATATTTTTGTTTATGCAATGCTTGATACGCATGTGCATAATGAGTTGAGTATGTTCCAAAACTTTTAAATCTTTAAGCACAACGGCTTTTAGAATCTTGGAACATTTAACCTGAAGAAGGTCAAAGAATACGGTCGAAAACGTTTGTTTTTTCAAATAAATATTTTAATGGTTACTCAAAGGTTTATTGTTAATCTATTTTTATATATATTGTACCAGTACCTGGTGAAGAGGAACCTTTACACTTTAATTTTAAGTTCTTTTTATATTAATTTTCATAATATGTTAAATAACACAAACACATGCACACAGAAATGTAAAGTTCATTTTTTGTGATGAATGGCTTTTCTGAAATTCTTGTTTTTTGCGATAAAATCATATAGTTTTATTTGTCGCATTTTTTTTCTTTCCTTAAGTAAATGTCAGTAGAAGGAGATCACATCCAAAAAGCCTCATCTTGCTTTTGCACTCCTTTCAAAATCTGGATCATTTGCTATAGTTTGATCAACGATTTCGGTTATCGTTACCAAATTTTTAATAAGGAAATCTGTAGAGAAATTCTTTGGGTTCTTTATTTTCAGAATCTCTGTTTTCCAGTTCTACATGAATTCTTTGTTCTGCCAGTTCTTGAAAGTCATCATTGGTAAGGCTCTCACCAGAAACCTGCAGTAACTCCTCAATATCCTGCTCATCTACATCTAGTCCTGCTATATCAATTAGGTTAAAAATTTGGTCAACTTAATGATACAGCAATAGTCTTTTCTTGTTGAGAATTCTTGGATACCTCCAGCCTTAACTTCTTCCACACTCCGCTCATGCATTTATCAATTAATTCTTGCCAAGCAAAGTCAATATTGCCTAGTGCAGGAGTGGCGAACCTGTGGCACGCGTGCCCAAAGTGGCACGTAAGGAGAAATCATCTGGCACGTAATGTATCATACAATTTCTGTCTTTTTCAATCATCTTTTCGGTTTATCACCTGATCATCCTTTTTTCAATCAGCGTTTTTACATTTATTCTGATTAAAGCGTATTTGTTTAATTTCTTTAAATATCGTTATTCGAAGTCTGAAACTTTGGCACGCATAAACATCTTTAAAGCTAAGTATGCTTACAATATGGCACACGAACAGAAAAAGGTTTACCATCCCTGGCCTAGGGCATCCATGATGATATATTTTTTCCAAAATTGTACAAAACAAACATAGATTTAAGGAAAGTACAGTGCTAAGACAAATTGCCACCTTTTGCTGATTAGTTCATGTTTGTAAATAATTGTATTATATATGAATCAATGAAATGTTGCAATAATTTGAATCAGCATAAATTTTGAGCTTTTTGTTTAGTCTTCAAGCAGACCGCATTATATCGAATCAGTGATAAGCAGAGTCTTACTGTACTTATGTAGTTTCTCCAAATAAAATATTTTTAGATTGTTTACAGTAAATTTGTAGGTTTTTAATTACTATTTTATATATTTTGATAACAGTCCACTTATTTATAATTTTACTTTGTATTTGATAGTTTGATTTTCAGTTTTCTAAATTTTTATGGTAGTTAGTTACACAAATTTTAATAGTTGACTTAGTTGCTAATACCAGAATTAAGATTTAATTTTGATACAATTAAAAAAGCTGGTTAAGTTTTCAAATACTATAGATAGTCTTGTACTAGGAAAAAAATAAATGCTGTACTGTATTTTGATGCATTAACATTCTTAGATTTCTGGTTGTTCTCTGAAGACAAAAGTTTATATTGACATTATCAAAAATATAATAAAAGTCAAAGACAATATATAATTTATTTTATTATTATATGATTTTTTTAAACTTTCTTGTAACTATTAATTTTTTACTTAAATTTATATTTTATTCATTAAAGTATGATTAAATAAATGATAATATAAACAAACAAATTTTAATTTATACTTATGAAGTTTGAAGTTGCATTGAAAATATTTCACAATATTACTCTAGAAATTGTGCATATACTTAAGTTCAATGTTAGGACCATGAATAATAATGTTCCACTTTTAATTATAATTTTTGGGAATCTAACTTAATATAAACACATGGCTATTAATGTTCAATTCTAAATTAAATATTATAATAGATTGTAATCTGCTTTTTAAACATTTTAACTATTTTTAAGAAATAATTTTTAAATTGGTTTTTCTAGAATTTTTAGTCAAAAATTTTATTTTATTGATTATCAAAATTATTATATTATAATGTATTAGCATTTAATTTTTTACATACTAAACTATACAGGAAGATTCAACAATGCAGAAACACACTATAACTTTGAAAATTTGAAAGTTACGTTTTTAAAAATGACATTTGTCATTAGTAAGTTGCTTATGACAAATCTATTGGTGACATTTTTATTGATATTGAAACTTGTTTTGAAGGGCATTTAAATACAGTATTCTTATTTGCTATGGCATCAAATTTTCCAATTGTAAAGTTTAGGGAATGATGAAATTACTCCAATTCTTGCTTCAAATCAATTTTATTGCTTAAATTTTTCTAAGAACATATTATGAAACAATAAGTCAACTTTATATTTATGAGTAGTGCAAAGTATCTTACTTCTGCAACCTAAGGAAGAATGCTATGCAGAGAAGTTTCTTTAACATAACAAAAGAAAAACCATTTCATGCAAATTTAATTAATCATATGCTTGAAATGCTGTTCTTAAACACCAATACACAACTGAGCATAGCAGGTGATTGAATAGTAAACATTTTGAATGGTATCTGTGATAACTTCTGTACATGCTGATACAGTTATATCCTGCACATTTGCAATGGTAGTTATAGGAGGTGAATAGACCCAATCCAAAAGAAAAAGTCCAATGGAGTTATGTCTGGCCACTCCACAGATCTTCCTTGACCAATCCAGTGATTCAGAAATGTACAATGCAACCAATTTCTAATCTCATTATGGTGATGGATGGGACTCTGCCATGCTGGAATGATATCTACAGATACTGAGCCAACAGTAAACTTTCTGTTAACTCAGAAACTATTTATTTCAAAATTGTATGCAAATATCAAAAACCACTCAATGAACCTTCATTTCAAAAAAAAATGTGCCAATTAGTCTGTGCTGGAAAATATAACATCACAATATCAAAAGCGCTCAGCAATTAATTAAAGAGAAATAAAACACCTTTTTTTGCCGAGAAATAAATATAATTGTAAGAAACAAACGTTTTCAGCCCAGTTAACTTGGAAGTAAGGCTCAAAGAACATAGATATGCCATAAGAAAAGCGTCTAATTCAACGATTTTATCCCAAATGGCGCAAGCTCAAGGCTCTGAGGTAAAATGGGACGAGGCAACAATCATCAAACCTCTGTCTTCCCCAACTTTAGCAATGACGGAGGAGAAGATTGAAATATACAGAAGTAGGATAGGCGAAGGCTGTTTAAATGCGAGGGATGCTGAGAGCCTGCCTTTGGCATGGAAGTACTTGGTTAAGAAATTTACTAGAAACTTGACCAGAGTTAGTACATTGAAGATTTATGTTACTTTTTGTTTTATTATTTGTTTTATTTTAATTTTTATATATTCTTCCATTATTTCTTTTGTAAAAAATTTTTGATTTAAAATTTTTATGTTCTGTTCATGGAACATTTACGTTCCATTTTTGTTTTCGACCTGAAGATGGCCTATTAATTGGGCTGAAAACATTTGTTTTTTACAATTATATTTATTTCTCGGCATAAAATTTTGTTTCTCTTTATAACATCACACATTAATTACACTATTTGAACTTGATAGATGCTTTTTCTTAGAATGGATTATCATTCATTTATAATGTAAGTTTTGGATGTTGACCACTCCATCTCTGGAAAATTGGTCCTCATCAGTTCATAATACAGATGATGTAAAGTTTGGATTGTCATCAGCTTGAATTAAAACCCAATTTCAAAAATCGGTTTATTTATCATAACCAATTAGTTGTATTGCTTGATGGCAATGAAAATGAAATGTGTAGAGTTTTTTTTCTTTTCAGATTCTGAACTATAAGTGGTTGGGAAATTTTTGAAATTTGTGAAAGAGATGAAAGAGATTGTGAAATGGCTCTTATGCTGGTTTGAGGGTTTGCATTAGCCACTACTAATATCATGAGTGTTATCTTCATCTATCTTTGAAGCTGGTCTGTTTGATATGTTTTTTTATGCAACATTACCAATTTCTACAAAACATTTTATTTTCAGTAATGTAGCAAGTGATGGATGGTGCTGATCTGGATACCTCTCTGCTTAGACTTGCAAAGCCAGATTGTTGAGAGGGAGGGAGACCTGAGAATTTTTCCCTGGGCTAAGAAATAACTTAGTGGTTCATAAAATTGATGAACACTTATGAACTGAAGACGACATTTATTCAATGTTGAAAGTACTTGTGTGAATGAAAATTGAGATACATTAATAGTACATACAGTATATATTTATCATAGTGGTTCTTACCCATATAAAATTAATGTTAACTTTATTAACAGAAAATCTTTAAGACTGATTATTATAGAAACGTTTTGACATTTCATTTGTTTAAAAAATAAAAAAAAGAATGGTTAAAGAGGTCTGCTTTATCTCTAGACCACAAAGAAGTCCTCAACAGCTGTGAAGCAGCTCATATACTTTGCTGATTATCATTGTAATAAAATAGTATGTCAACAAATTCATCCTTTGCAAAATCATGTTAGCATTAGATTATGTAAATTAGGCCTAGTGAGGAAATTTGCATTGTAACATGACATGTTTTTTTTTTTTCTTTTGTTAGGATTAAAAATACTTCTCTGAATAGCATTCTTGTTTAGGTTGCAGAAGTAAGATACTTTGTACTGCTTATAAATATAAAGGTGATATACTGTTTTATAATGTGTTCTTGGAATTGAATTGGAGTAATTTCGACATTTCCTACAACTTTACAATTGGAAAATTTGATGCCATAGCAAATGTTTGAATGCCCTTCAAAACAAGTTTCAATATCAATAAAAATGTCACCAATAGCTATGTCATAAACAATTTATTAATGACAAGTGTCACTTTTATAAACATTACTTTCACATTTTAAAAGTTAAAGGATGTTTCTACCTTTATGAATTATTGTGTATAATATTTAAATACTGAAATTTATCTACCCTAAAGAAGTTCAATAAGTAATTAGTTCTAACCCATTTCAGTTTGTTATTAAATGAAAAATGGAAAAAGAAATTCAGAAAAGAAGTATTTACATTTTTATGAAATGTTTTAGATATAAAATTCAACATAACTTGAAATTTTAGTTTTATTTAANAACATAAGATGTAAAACAAACTACTATGATTTTTTTCATGTATAAAATAACCCCCCTGTAACAAGGATTTTTTTTCTTAGTACAATAAAGCTTTGATTGAATAATTGTAAAAAGACACTTTATTCCAACAGTCAAATAAAATAATTCACACAACAGTGTTGTGGCATTACAATCACAGTTAAGACGTGCTTGCTAGTACTTTCGACAGATTACAGTCATCATCCTTAGGCAAAAAAGAATAGTGTATTTATGTATATATATACTGTATTTAATAATTTATTTTTACAGTTAGTCAATTAAATTAATTGATTTTCTTGCAACATTACTTTGTGATCTGTGTTAAGAGAAAATATTATTTGCAATACTTTTTATTCCGTTTGTTCTGCACATAGCATGTTAAGAAATGCATAATGTTTTAAAAAAACTGTGAATGAAACATCATTAATTCTATGATCACAGGGTCATTAAAATATTTATAAATTGAAAGGCGAGTAGGAACAGGAAGATTGAACCTTCTATAAGATTTGGAGAAAATATTATAAGTAAAAACAGAACATCTGTAGTTCAGATCAAAGAGACATTGAAGCCAATATAGAAAAATCTGTAATTCATGGCAATTAAAAACATATTTCAAGTATAGATTGTGTTACTAAATTTTATTTCACTGATTGTATTTTGTTTCGATTGCATAATTTGACCACCAAGAGGAGGAGAAAAGTTTAAACTTTAACGAAAACATGACACACAGTTTATTCATGAATCCTTATTTAATTGACCTGTAAAATTTTTTAAAAATAAAATTAATAATTTAAAGTGAAATATTTTAAATGAGATCTTTTCTTTTTATCTATTGAAATTTGACTTAAGTCAATATTAGATATTATGTTTTTAGAATAAGAATATTTATTTAAATATAAAAGTTTTATTAACTAAAATTCTCTGTAATTAGTTTCAATTTCTTTGGTCAAAATTCATTTTTGTATAACACTAAATTTCATTTAAATAATCATCATTAAGTTTTTTAACTAATACCTATAGGGTCTACTTTCTGTTTTCAGACTCAACTCTGAAGGCAAGTGATGGATATCGCCTGGAAACAGAAAAGTTTCAAGCTTATAATTGATATAAAATATTTAGATGTGTTTAAATTTAATTGTTGCTAAACAAAATTTGTTTATAAATACATGCATAAATAATTTAAGTTAAAGCTTTTTAGATTTTATTTTGACTGAGATTATTTCAAGTATTCAAAATTTATAATTTTCATTAAAGATTCTATTTGCAAATTTTATTTATTTAAATGAAAGTTTAAGCAATTTTAATCATCTTCAAATATATATATATACAAATATATAATTTAATACTTTGCACTCATTTATCTAAATTGATGTTTAAATTATTTATCAATGATCATATGGACTTTAAAAATTTATGTCTGTTTAAGTATTAATTAAAATTCTATAAAATTAAAAAATTAAAATGTATTATTTGAATGGAAACAAAATATTGAACTATTAGGAAATTATTTTCATACTTGTATACTGAGCTATCTAAAATAATTTTTACTAATCAATTTAAAACATTTGTATTGTATACAATTCAAAAATAATTTATTTAAAAAATATGCACAAAAAATAAGTAAAATACTAATGTTTAAAACTAATGCTTATCTTTGACTATGATAATATAATACCAAAAGATTGACATGGAACATTTAAGAAACTTAAAATGAATATATCAATCAAGCAATCATCATTATTTGTATTAGGTTATTACTGTTACAATAGGGTGTATAAATTAGTAAAAACATTTGGTTTTATCATATATTATCACATTATTTCTAACACAAATTATTTCATATATAACATCATTAACATTTATATATATTTTTGATATTATTAACACAGTTATCTAAATGTAAATATATAAAATTACTTGTCCTGACTGAGTCACTGATTCATCATCGCCCAGAGCAAACTGCTGAACCTAAAAAGGTGAAATTTGGTACACAGGGTACGTCACGAAAATGCACACTAAGAAGGATTTTTCGAAATTCCCCCGCAGAGTAGAGAGGGAGAGCATTAAGGCTTAACCAGAAAAACAGCTTCTACTGTACTATTTTTAGATGCAATTTTTTCTTTTTATCTGCATTGTAGTAGTAGGGTATGCCATGAGAATCACACTAATAGATTTTTTGAAATTCCTTTGCGGAGTGGAGAGGGAGAGCATTAATGCTTAACTGGAAGAACAACTTCTACTGTACTATTTTAGATGCGATTTTTTGTTTTCAACTAAGTTTAGTCTTCATTGAGTACTTAGGTATATTAAATTGATAACATTTCAGACATTGTTATAAATATTTTTGTATTTTGATTTTTTAACCAAATGTTCGAACCGTTTTAAATTTGAATTTGTTATTGCATATTGGTTCGATTATAGAATGATTGTAAATGTTCCAGAAAATTGATCAAATTTGATTCTCAGCAATTCTCATCATTCTCAGCGGTAGGTGTTATATAACAATTACTATGGTTGTTGAAATACTGAATATAAATAGGGTTTGCTTGCAAAACACCTGCGGGCGAAGTCGCGGGTAACAGCTAGTTTACCTATAATATTACATGGATACCCTGCAACAGGGATAATTTCCATATATGCAAATAAAGTTTGATTAATAATAATAATAATAATATACAGATACAATGAATTTTTGAAAATAGTTGTATAAATTATATATAATTGTAGTTTTTGCTGTATGAAAAAAAAAATACATAGTTTTTTTTGTTGGTGACTTTGTCTAATGCACGGAGGTTGTATCTATTTCAATTCCTAAGCCTCTTTACATAGACAAAACATGTGGATTTTGGAACATGTATCCCTACATCTACAGCAACAATGGTTAGATAATTCATAAATGGAATTATTGATTATTATTATCTCCTTATTTAATCTTAACTGAATGAAGAACTTTTTTATATTAAAAGATAGATTCAAGAGCATATAACCGTTAATATTTGGGTATTCTAAAATTATATTATATCATTCAGGATTTTTCTGGTTAAAATAAATATATCAGTAAATGTACAAATACAAAAATAGAGTTAAATATACAGACATCAAATTTAAGACAAAAATAAAATAGACAAGAATAAAGAGCAAAATTACATACCTTAATAAAAAATTTTTCTTCTTTCAATAACTTTTACCAATAGCAAATTTGAAGTCCTTTAAGAACTGTGAATACTAACCATAACTTCTTGGAAATTTAAAAGATATTTCTAAAAGCTATTAAAAGGAGAAAATTTGTCTATAAAAGTATATAATTTTGTTCTTTGTTTTATTTCTTTTATTTTATATTATATCATATACTGAAAGTTTTGGTGATTAACAAACTTTTAATGCTAATAATAATAAATTAATAAGGAACATTGGGACCCATCTTACATGTACAACATGAAAAATCATCAATGAGTAAAATTATTTTTAAAAATNTTGAGTAATAAAGTTCATATTAAAATATTTTAATTTGTAGTGAATGAGTAATCAGATGCATTCCTTATCCAGAAACATTCCTGCTGCTCCTCTAAGAGCAGTTCAAGATATTAAGGTGTGTTGATTTAAATTTAAGTTGTTAACATGTAATATTGCATGAAACAGTTTGCATGCTTTATTCATTTAAAATATGTTTTATAACATGTGTGTATTTTGATTTTATAAAATTATGCACTATGGTCTGAATGCATGATGATTATCAAATTTGAATTCATGCTTATATTATTCATTATACCTACATATAAATCAAATTTTGAAACTTTCTCCATCCTTCTCTTTTACAAGACTTCTCATACATTGTATCCAAAGAAAAATGTTTTACCAGAAATTAGTAATAAAAGACGACTTAAATTTATGGTAAGTAGTCTTATGTCAATATAAGTTTATTGACAATTTTGTAAAATTTTAAATAAACTCCTATCATTTTTCAGAATCCTAAATAAATCAGTTATTTATTATATCTGATTTAAATATTATTAAGAAAACCATGTTACAATAATAACTTGAGAAAGATAGATAAATATTAAATCAAATTTTTAAAAGGTATTTAAAAAATATAGTGAAGTCTTTAAAAGTTTAAAGTTGTTTATACCTAAGGTTATAGCATTTAAGTTAATATTAGTTTTTTAGTTATTAAAATATTCATTTTAACTCAGACTTTTTAATTTTTATATATATATTAATTTAGAATCAAATCAAAGCATAGAGTTTTTAGACATTTTAAATTATTTTTTAAATAAAATTTTTTTTTCCTATATAGTAATAACAATACCTTAATTCACTATTCCAGCACTGTTTTACTCTCCCAACAAATGTTTTCAGTTCTCTTCACAAGCCTGCCTAGGTTTGTTTTTAGTTTAAAGTTTAAAATTAGAATGCTATAATTCTGCACTCATTGTTCTTATAACTATTAAATTTAAATGATAGGACATGCAGACTTTTATCTAGTTTTGTATTCTCTAACTCTGAGAATTGTTCAGATTGTAAAAACATTAGTTATAATATTTTCCATAAATTATTACAAGTTGTGGCCACCTTGTTAAGTTGTCTTCTGAGTTTATTGTAAAATGATAGCCAAGTGACAGACAAGGATTCACAATCCTTATGATTTGTACAATTTCCTTTTAAAGTGGCTTTATACTCTCCAGCATTTCTAAAATTCTAAGGTGCTGCTCATTGTAGACTTGTTTTAATAATTTAGCTTCTTGCAGATTTGCAACCACTCCAGCCTCTATTGCATAACTGGCTAATACATTTACTGGCTTGTTGTGGTCTAGACTATATTTTTGTCCTTGAGTGGTGGGCCCTATGTAAGTTAAATATTGATAATAATAAAATTAAATTATAAATGTAAAAAAAAAATTTATCTCATATGGGATTCAAACCCACATATTAATGCTCTTCAACCAATGCCTTAACTAACACACCACACCATGAACACATGAATGGTGCTTCTGTACAGGTATGAATAGTTCTAGAAAAACTTTAATTGTGATTTTTCTCAGAATGCCTGAATAATGGGTCCTACAGCTTTAGTAGTGTTTAAGTATAAGTAAACACTGCACATCCACAAAATTTCATCAAAATTGATGATGACAACTGCCCAGGTTCCCCTTGTAAGATATGACTTTCCTTTATAGTTATATAGAAGATAAAGTAATAATTTATAGTTCAGATAAGAATAATAAAAATAAATAATTATTACTTTATATATATTAGGTTCTTACCCATATAAAATTAATGTTAACTTTATTAACAGAAAATCTTTAAGACTGATTATTATAGAAACGTTTTGACATTTCATTTGTTTAAAAAATAAAAAAAAGAATGGTTAAAGAGGTCTGCTTTATCTCTAGACCACAAAGAAGTCCTCAACAGCTGTGAAGCAGCTCATATACTTTGCTGATTATCATTGTAATAAAATAGTATGTCAACAAATTCATCCTTTGCAAAATCATGTTAGCATTAGATTATGTAAATTAGGCCTAGTGAGGAAATTTGCATTGTAACATGACATGTTTTTTTTTTTTCTTTTGTTAGGNTAATAGTTTAGTACTATTTTATCATTATACATTTAAATTAAATTAAATTAAAAAATAATTGCTTTTATATCAGTACAGCTGTCCCATGATAATCTGACAGGTATGGGACCAAAGGGTGTCAAATTACCAAAAGTATCTGGATTACCGAAAGTGATTACATATTTGGCATTGTTTTGCTAGCAGTAGCCTACAATATTCCCTATCCAACTGTTCAAACAGAATATCCAATTCTTACACGATGACACACAAAATGTGTGTCCTCGTGTAAGAATTGAGTCGGTAGATTCACTTCGTGACATGCTTCTGTGCAAGCAGACACGTAACAGGGACGGGTACCTTGACGGGAGGTGCGTTGGACTACTGAGCATGTCGGATTATAAAATGTCGGACTATCAAGGGACAGCTGTATTTATAAAAACTTTGTTATGATCATTTATAATTGAACACAGGTGCAAAACTTTGAAACATTGTTTATAAAATTATTTGAAATTTATAGTTCTCAGGTTGTATCATTATCAAATTTAAAGTATAATGATTTTAACTGTTTCCAAAATGCTCAAGTTAAAATAACTCATTAGACAAATTGATGTAATTACATGATATAGGAAATTAAATATTAGAAACTATTAGGATGATTAATCAAATTATTTAAAATTTGTAACTTTTCAGAATCCCAGAAATATTTTTAAGTTTTAAAAAGTGTTTGTTTATTTTGTTTGCTTCATTTTTGTTTTTACAAATATATGTATGGGTAACCATACATTCCTGTTGTCCAGGATAATCCTCAATGTCTCCTGTTTTAACTCAAAAATAGAATAAAATTTTAAATATAACCAATTTATAGCTCATTATAAAAATAATTTTTAAAAATAATCTAAGTTTAGCCACTTTTAAATCCATTTTCATTCACTGTTAAAAATTGTCCTGGTTTGGGCAATAAACAGTTTTGTCATAATACATATATTCTTACTAGCAGACCTGGTCACGCATTGCTGTGTCTCAAACTGTATCTATTATAAATGTATAATACTTCCCCTGCAGGAGGGAATTTCGAAAAATCCCTTCTTAGTGTACATTCTCTTGATATACCCAATTAAAACACAATCAAAAATGCAAAAAACCACATCTAAAATAGTATAATAGAAGCCAAGTTCTTCATGGTAAGCCTTAATCCTGTCCCTCTCCCCCACGGGGGGAATTTAAACATCTAAATTATATAAAAACACATGCAAATTCAAATGCAATGTTGTGTCAAAATCCTGTATGTTTAATGTCTCGAACTGAAGTTTCATTCTCAGAAATGTCTCGAAATATATGGCAATAGTCCACAAAAAAATAAAAATATATGGAATTGTAAATATGATTTAATTAATTTTTAAAGTTTTATAGGTAAATATTTCATAATTTTCCAGGCGAAAAATATTTGTTTAAGAAAAACTAAGACGTGCTAGTACGAAGTTAAAATTGTGTGTGGCGCCATCTGTTAGGAGATTTCATTAAAAAATAACTATTTTTATTATTAAATCGTGGGGGAGGGAATTTCAACATATATATCATATAAAAATACTCCCGTATTCGAATGGAATGCTGTGTGAAAATTTCAAAGCAATTGGTGAAGAACTTTTGGAGATTAGCTATTAGGTACTGTACAATGAACATTACATTTTTATTTATATAAATTTACTACAAAATTAATTTACTTTCAGTTTTGTTGATATTTATTCATATTTTTCAAAACATTTTAAAATAGCAAATAAGTTTTGATTGAGAATTGTTGTTTTATAATGAGAACAATTTTAATTTAGTTTTAAATTATTATTATTTATGAATACTTTTGCTAATGAAAGCTAAAACTTTGTAATTTGTAATTGTGTAAGAATAAATAAACTGATATGTTTAGCTTTCTTTTATTAAAAATAAAAATATTTTATCTCAAGGAATTGTGCAGTGGAATCAAAACATCACACAACCTGATCTTCAAATGTATATATTGTACACAAGATAGCCACCAGATATGTAGCAACACTTGTGGTTTATGACTCTTGTTATGTGTTGACATTAAGAAGCAATTTAGCCCATTCAGACTATCAATACAGTCTGAATGGGCCATAGTAGATAATTGTTGATATTGCAAGTGGTATGTTTTTTCCTAGATACAGTGTATATTCATTGTTGAACAGTATTTCACTACCTGCTCTTATGCAAGAGTAATTGAAGAATTTTCACAGAAATATCTAAATGTGGAACCTTTCAATAAATCTATAATTGTACGATTGATTGCTCATTTTCATGAAACTGGGAGTATTATGGATAGAAAATGTAGTGGACATCCATTGATATTGACTGGGAAAAAAATTGGTGAGGTTTTGGAATTAATGCTGCAATCTCTGTCAAAAAGTGTATGAAAAAACTTTCATCACAATATGATTTATCATATGAAAGTGCATGTGAAGTTGTGGAAAAGAGTATGAACATGTATCTGGGAAGAAGATAACCACTTTGAACATACAGTATGTTGTAACCATCATCTTTAACATTGAACATTGTCCAGAAAACATTGCAAATTTTAACATAGTAACATTCTGTGTAAGCATGTGATTTCTGTACTATTATATTCTACTGTACATATTGGGTTGTGCAATTTTTCAATTGCACTGTATAAATCTGTAAAATTGTACAAAGATGGCATTTTAATTAATTAATGATACTGAAAATGATTTATATTAAAATTTTTAAATTTTTTTTATATGAAAGAAGGCTTAGTTAGTATTTTACTATTCATGGATTCTTTGAATCTATTAATAATAAAAATCAGTTTTTCATTTTATTATCAGACAAGTTGTAATAAACAAAACTGTGCTAAAAAAAATAGCTGAAAGTTTCATTAATAAATCCTGAATGTAGGTTTTATAAAAACAAAATTATTCATTAAATATTAAGGAAAAATTAATACAGATGTAATTTACAAACTTTGAAAGAATACTCTGAAAGATCAGAGCATTTTAAACAATAACATATTTTGGAATATGTTATTGTTTAAAATGCTCTGATCTTTTTGAGTTCATTAAACACATAATCAATGTTGCTAGATGAAAAGAGTTAAAGTATTCTGTTAACTTTTAAAAATTCTAATAAATTTAATGAAAAATATGTGAAAAACTATTTTTCACATATAAATTTTTTAATATAAATTTTAATGTAAATGTAATTAGTTTAACTGAAAAATATGTGAAAAACTATTTTTCACATATTTTTCAGTTAAACGAATTACATTTACATTAAAATTTATATTAAAATCATAAAGTACAAAAATAAATTTCTTAATTTTAATATTTTAGATCCAGATGATCTGCCAAATTATTAGACTATGATAATAATTACATAGAAGTTAATTTGCATAGAGGTAGTGGTTAAGCCACCATCATGTGATAATTTTAATAATTATAATAAATTTATTTTAATTTAAAATTTCTGGAAGAAAAGAATTGGTCCTGACTGGGATTCAAACTCACAAATACTGTTTATTGTGCAGATGCTTTGTCAGTTACACTACCTGGACTTCCATTTAATCTTTACTCCCAGATCCATTAAATTAGATATAATCATACAGATCACTCATGGTGCTGACTGAGTATGACTTTAAGTACCCATCATCTTCCTCTATAGCCATGGTCACACCATGTGATTTCCAGCCGCGCAGGCGACTGCAACGGCTGTTCCCATTAACTAGTAAATCCCCTTCGAAAACTGGCGCGACTGCAACCACAACTAGAAACAAAAAGTTTGTTCTGTTTGCGATGATTGCAAATGCACATCCAATCAATAAACACCTTTGTGTCACGTCATACAGTGACAACATTGAAAATAGTTCATTATCATGGCGGATAGTTAGAGGATTAATACTTTTACAGAATCGAGATTGATCGAGCTTATTCAGGCTCATGAATACCTGTGGGATTTTAATTCTTCGGTTTATCAAAGATTTTATCTTTTCATGTATTCTTGTCAACTCTATCAAAATAATCGCCTTTTTTCTTATATTCATTCCAGAAAAGGAACTGCTTGCTATTTTAATAAGAAAAGTGGCTAAAATTCCATAAATAGTCTGAAGTAGAACGTAAAATGTCGGCAAACTCATGAAAGTAGTCAAAAACAAGCTACTGTAATTTTATTGGTTTATTATAGGGTCACGTGTTTCCAAGTTGCAACATCAATGAACAATGTGTGACCAAGAGAAGATGCGCGTGACTTGTGCTTGTTGCAGTTGCAGTCGTCTGCGCGGCTAGAAATTGCATAGTGTGACCAGGGCTTATGGCACTCACGCAGCTATTGTTTTACCGCAAGGTATAAATATGAAAACAATAAAAGTACTCAACAAACCCAATTTTTTATTACCAGTTAATGGATTGTTATAGATCAAAATAGCTTTAAGAAAAATTTAATTAGAACAAAATAAAAGATTTAGGTTGAAAGCAAAAAAGAAAAGTCTGGTGGATAAAGATTGAGTTACATGTGAATTCTGTCCAAAAAATTAGTATATTAGTATAATATTGATAATTATTTTTTTGGCTTTTAGTCTTAAGACAAATATTTAAAAGAAAATTTTCTACTTCATTTGTATCCATTTTTGATATTCCTTATTTAAAGTGTTTATTATTTCACGAGGGTCGTTCAATGAGTAATGCACATAATTTTATTTCTTGGCTGTCTTTCATTGGAATTGAACAAAACTTTGCATAACATATTTTTAACAATTATGTAATGGCACGAAGTTTCTGTTAATGTCGTTAGGTGGTGGTAGTGTAGTTTAGTTTTAAAATGGCAGCTGAACTTGAGACACATACAAAGCAGAGAGCTGTGATTAAATTTCTTTTTGCGGAGCACAAGACCATCTCAAACATTCACAGATGGTTACAACATGTCTATGGAGTTGAAGCAGTGGATAGGAGTACTGTCAGTCATTGGGTTAGCAGAGTGTCAATGACAGAACAGGGTAAAGCAAGACTGTCAGGTCTTCCATGCTCGGGATGGCCACATGTTGCTGTGACTCCGGAGACAGTTCAATGTGCCAATAGGCTTATTTGAGACAACAGGTGAGTAACAACCAAACAACTTGCTGCTCAACTAGGCATATCTGTGGGTAGTGCCAATACAATTATAACCACTGCTTAGATTATTCAAAGGTTTGTGCCAAGTGGGTCCCTAAACGCTTAACTGAAAACAATAAGGAGCAAAGAAGGACCCATTTGTGCAGAGTTGCTTGAACATCATGAAGCTGATGAAGATTTCTTATCCAAGATTGTCCACAGGAGATGAGACATGGATTCACCATTTTGAACCTGAGACCAAATGGCAATCCATGGAGTGGCTTCACAAAAATTCCTCTAGGAAGAAAAAGTTCAAATCAGGACTCTCAGCTGCCTGCAAGATTATGGCCACAGTGTTCTGGGATTATGAAGGTGTGATTCTGATTGACACATTGCCACCCAGTGAAACAATAAACTCAGACATTCACATCAACACTCTGAAGAAGTTGAAGAGATGATTTAGGCGTGTTCTTCCCCATAAAGATGTTAACCAAATTCTCCTTCAACATGATAACACGAGGCCACACGCTAGCCTGTGCATGTATCAAGAGATCACAAATCTTGGATGCATGCATCCAAGATTTGTGATCTCTTGATGCATGCACATGCCTCACCCACTCTACAGCTCGGATCTTGCACCTTCTGACTTCTATTTGTTTGGCTCCCTGAAGGATGTTATCTGAGGAAAGCAATATGACAATGATGAGTAAATCATAGGAGATGTCAGGAAGTGGCTGAGAGAGAGACCAGCTGAGTGGTATCGAACTGGCATATAGGCTCCGGCATCTAGGTGATGTAAGGCCATAGATTTAAATGAAGACTATGTGGATTAAGGGTACTTGTAGCCAATTAATTGGGGAATAATGTAGTATATTTGAATTTGTAAAAAAATTAAACTTTGAGTAAGAAAAAGACCTATGTGCATTACTTATTGAACATCCTAGTATAAAAACTCATGAATTAACAGAAAATTTGAAAAATTAGCATTAATAACTCTTGTACTGTTTTTTCAAGAATTTAATAAATTTAATTTATCACTTATTATAAAAAAATCATAATTATACATGCGTACAATATCTGAATTTATATTTTTTTAGATTTCTGCATTAACTGATGACAAAAATATGACTGATCAAAATATTAGTAAAAGATCTACACTTTTAACAGAAATGCAAGAAAATGAAGGAAATGAAAAACAAATTACTGCTTCATACTTAAAAGGCAAGAATGAAATTTTATCAGACAATTCAATAATAATGGAAAATGATCCCAATTTTATTATAAAATTACCAACAGATGACAGTTTAAAACAAGTAAGTGTAAAGAATGTTATATATTAAAGTATGTTAATCTATTATTTTATAAGTATTTTAACTAAATGTAGATTTTGAATATCTAGAACAGTGGTTCTCAACCTTTTTTTCATCACGGCACACTTTTAGTACTTTAAAAATTTGGCGGCACACTAACAATAAGATAAATTGTAAAAAATTTTACTTCATTAATTGAGGGATGTACTGTATCTATAATATATTTTGTAAAAAGAGCATACGATAAGAATTTTCAATGAAATATAAAAGGAAATTGCATTACAAAGTAAACAAAATGTTTTGTGTCGCGGAAACGGCACACTTCAGAAATTTCGGGGCAAATCAGTGGCGGCACACTTCAGAAATTTCGCGGCACACTAAAGTGCCGCGGCACAGTGGTTGAGAAGCACTGATCTAGAATAATTAATAAATAATTTAAATTTATAATTTTATGCAAGAAATATCCCTTGTAATAGCAAATAAGACAATATGGTCTTGTTTTACACAACGTTGCATGTTAGCAGATATGATGTAAAATGAAATTCTGTATAAATTTGTGTTCTATTCCAAGTAATCTCAGATGAGTGCCTAGATATTTATATAAGCATTTATAATTAACAGAAAAACATATATTAAAAATTAAAATTTAATTTAATTTAAAGAAAGGAGGATTGAACCCAAGTTAGCAAGTCTTAAATTAAAAGCTTTGATCCTAACTGTGCTTGGCATGGTTGGTGTTACAACCATATCACAATTAGAATCAAAACTGTCAGGTGAACTACTTATTAACTATGTGTGTGTTTCTTTTCAAGTTTTCTCCTTTTGATTGCTTATTCATGCAAATAGCTTTACCTGCTTATAATGGACACTGTGATCTACAAGATATATAATATTTTATTAAATGTCAGGTAGTAACTAATGATCTTCACTTGTCAGTGAATATATTTTTTTAATTTAGTAGCTATTTATTAGCTAGACAAAAAGCAACTTAATTTTATCAACTTTTAGCAATTATCTCATTGATAATGCCAGTAAACAGAATTTTCAGTTTTATTGTATATATTTTTATTCTAGTTTGTAATATAAATAATTTGTGAGAATATTATTACTTGAATTTGAAGATAGTGATCTCAAAAATCAACTAAGGTAACAGAACAAGATTCTAGTTACATGCACTCAAGAAATTCTTAACATAATAGTCCTTTTCTATATTGCTTATTCAGATATATTGTACTTTTTTGTCTTCTAAATATAAAAGTGCTTTAACCAATAATTTAAAAAAAAAAAAATAAGTTGCCATTGAATTTCTACTGGCAAAGAAATATTACATTATTCCATCATTGATCATAAAAATTATCATTGTATGAAATGTAACTTACAAAAATTCAAGTCAACAAGGACGTCAAAAAGAAAAAAATAGGTGGCTAGTTCATTGATTATATTGCACCATTTGCTGCATTACTCATTTGTTGTCTCCTGATATACACAATGTAATGAGGTATTGTAATTTCTATATCCCCCTGGAAGCCTGGAAATTACTTAACATGTGTTAGACAGTGGCGTGCCATGACATTTGATAGTAGGGAAGCTGTGTTTCTGTAAGAAGCCGACTTCCAGGAGCAATCAGTTAATTGCGCGTCAGTGATGGTCAAGTGTCCATTCGTATCGTTTGTTCGATAAGCCAGTAAAAACCGCAGACTTCTCTAAATGTATTTTCAATATCACAATTACATTCTGAATCGCTAGCCATGATATAAGGGCTAAAATTATAAATAAAATAATAAAAACTTACTTGGTGAAATAAAGTGTATGTTCTGTCCAAAAAATTAGTATATTAGTATAATATTGATAATTATTTTTTTGGCTTTTAGTCTTAAGACAAATATTTAAAAGAAAATTTTCTACTTCATTTGTATCCATTTTTGATATTCCTTATTTAAAGTGTTTATTATTTCACGAGGGTCGTTCAATGAGTAATGCACATAATTTTATTTCTTGGCTGTCTTTCATTGGAATTGAACAAAACTTTGCATAACATATTTTTAACAATTATGTAATGGCACGAAGTTTCTGTTAATGTCGTTAGGTGGTGNCTGCCAAATCCCAAGGGTGCTGATACCGGTCAATGTCAAATGCCTCTTTTGTCGCATTACTAGTATACCTCAAAGGACGCAACAGGGTTGTTGTACATTTTAAATGTTTCTTACCATAGCTGTAAAAATCTAAATATGTTAAACTTAATAGATTGTCCGTCATTTGTTTTCTAACTAATTCGTTTTAAGACCAGGTGTCCACAGAAATTTCCAAAATTTACAAACTTTTTGGTCACTGTCATTGAACTGGAAAAATTTCTTTCTTTATTATATCTAATATTACGAAGAAATCAGTCCCCACTGTACTCAGCTAGAGATTGGTTCAGTTAAGCTTTTGTTTAAGTAAAATTTTGGCTCTTTCGTCAGGGTTTTATTTACTGTATGTCTCCAATTCCCTAATCGCTAAATTATTTAACTACTTCTTAAGTAGAAATAAGTCAAAACCGGTTACTTTGTACTCAACTATTTGTAGTCTTGGGGAAAAAGTGGAAAGACAAATTTTTATGACAACGGATACATAAATCGTAAATTTAAGGAATATAAATTCTAGAGCTTTTTCTGTACCTCGTGCATCTCTCTCATTCATTAAATTTAGTTGTAAATGATGCTGTCAAAGTAACAGTTAACTTTTTTAACATTATACAAGAATTGTACACATTTTTTTCTATATTTCCTTACAGATGGGACATACAAAATCATAATATCACTGGTTTAACATTGAAATCCGTGAGTAATATAAAATTGGAGAGTGGAATAAAAATATCAAATATTTTAATGGATTTTTTAAACTCTTGTCAACTAAACAGAACTATCATAAAAACATACCAGTAAACTCCTATCGGTTGGGTTAAGTTATAAATCTACTTGTGATTCATGTAATCAGGCGAGGGCGGCCAAATATCTAGCGGGCAGGTGGCTAACAGCCCAGAACCGGTCTTAGATAGAATTGGATGCGGTATACATATAGCATCCACCCAAGGTCCTAGGCTTCCACCAGCTAAACTGGGTGAGGTTGGTGCTCTGTAAAGCACATGCGTGAATCTGGCTTTTTGGATGCTGACAATACAGCGCTTCCACTCCGCCACTAATATTCGAATATACAATAGCAATCTTATCTTTTTTTTCATGTGTAGTATAGAAATTTGTAATAAGATACATAATGTGGTTATAATAAAATATTGTGCGATTATTTTCATATAATGAAAATTAATATGTATTTATTTTTTAGAAAATACAAGGGAAGCGGTGCATCCATCGCTTCCAATGATGGCACGCCACTGGTGTTATATAAACCAAAAATGAATGTTGGTCAGTGCCAGGCCTGGACTTTTAAATGGACCAAAAAAAAATTAAAAACAAATCTGTTAGTGTATAAAATTCCCAAAATAATTACTATATGTAAAAAAGGAAAAAATTTTATTTATTAGTCTTTGACTCTTTGACTGACTATATTACAATATGAAATAAGTTAGAAAATTCAAATATAAAAGGATACTTTACCTAATCAAAAACAAAAAAACAAGGTATGTACAAAAGCTTTCCTGACATTCAGGGAACTTAAAATTAGCTTAGAATTATCTTAAACTATTTCCATAAGAACCAACAAAAAATATAAAACTGGACTATATATAAGAATTTCATAAAATAACCTTACATGTAACTTGCCTAACTGTCACCAAGAAGAAACTTCTAATCTGTCATCCAAATCAAAAGCCTTTTTCCTTAACTTCACTCAATCCTTAGGTTTACCTTTACTAGGTCATTTCTTTTCTTATAGTGCTAGGATGGTGACGTTACATTAACACTATTTACATACTTATAGAGAACATTTATTTAACTCTAGCAATCTTCTTTCCATGTCATGTCATCACCTTCACGTAATTCTTTTTTAAATTTTTGGTGACAATTTGGGGTGGGAGATCATTCTTTTAATTTCCTTTCAGTAGTCTGCCCACCCAAAAGATGTCAATTCTGAGTTGACAACACATTCGATTTTCCTTCGGCAGTCGTCATAGTAAAAATAAAACTTTTCATTTTTAGTTTTTAAATTTTGTCCAGGTGAGTTGCAGTAGTCTATTCTTAAAAGAATAAAATATACCAAAAAATAAATAAGAAAAATGAACTAAAAATAATCCCCAAATAAAATAAAATGGGTTTGAATCAACTCCTTACAGGGTTACTGTATTTTTATATGCATTATGATGGAAAATTTCATATTATAAAAACTTTAGACATGTTTTTAATACATGGAATACACAGCTTTTTGGGTATAGTAAATGTACAATAGGTGTCTTTTCTCTAATTTGACACAATTTTTTGAAAATTAAGTTTTTTAAAAACTATAATTTTAATACATTTTTGGTGCACAGTTTTCAATGGCTGCAGCAAAAATGATAATGATAACCTGAGTGATATTATTGGAAAGAAAAATCAGTCCTTACTTTTTTCAATGCCTTTGAATGGGGTTATACATATTTTCTTGATAATGAACATCATGTACCTCAGAAAAACCTTTAACTGATGTGAAATAAAATTTAATACTACAAACGTTTTCAGACCCCTCCTGGGTCCTTCTTCAGGTAAAAAATCGTTTGAAGTGTTTTTTCATATTTAATAACGTTTCAAACGATTTTTTACCTGAAGAAGGACCCAGGAGGGGTCTGAAAACGTTTATAGTATTAAATTTTATTTCACATCAGTTAAAGGTTTTTCTGAGGTACATGATGTTCATTATCAAGAAAATATGCATAACCCCATTCAAAGGCATTGAAAAAAGTAAGGACTGATTTTTCTTTCCAGTAATATCACTCAGGTTATGGTCGTTAAGGGATTATTAAAGGTTTTTCTGAGGTACGTGATGTTTAGTTATTTCCGATGTGCAGTTGTTCGTTATTATTCTTGATAATATTCTTTTAGAATTTCTGGAATATACAGAGTAGACAAAAAGTCCATTAAACTTTAAACGTTCATAAAAAAATAGAAGAATTATCAGAATGAAATGCAGTTTGCATGGTAAGTATTGTCAGCATGGTGATTTTTGATGATGGGAAAAAATTAGTTCCAAAAATCACTGATAGGTGCATTGACATATAAAAGAAATGCAAAAGAGAATGAAAATGTGTGTATTAGACAAGTATTTGACATGGCCTCTACCACAGGGTATAATACAGTGAGTAAAAACTTTGCACCTGCAGAATGTAGCATGTCCACATGGATGGATGTTACTTTAAGGCAAATAGCATTTTTCAATTTTAACAATGTGGGAAAACCTGATCAAAACACTTGAGAATTTAAACACTCCCACAGTCAGAAATCACATTGAAAGTCATTTTCATTGTCATTGCATGTCTATTCAGTGTCTTTTTATGTCACTGCCACCTATCAATGAATTTTGGAACTAATTTTTTTTGTGTCAACAAAAATCCCCCATACTGACAATAATCACCATACAAACCACATTTTATTCTAATATTTCTTACATTTTTTTAGAAATATTTAAAGTTTTTATGAACTTTTTGTCCACTTTGTATATCACTGGTGGTTAGCTAAACAATATAGTTATAGTATAATGATTGTCTAGCACATTTTTAAATATTTTCCAAATTCTGGATCAAAAATTTTCTCATGGGTGGATTGGATGAGGTAGACCAGTATCATGGCTACTGCAGTTATCTGACTTAATATGAATGTTTTTTTACTACTAATGGAAAAGGATTAAAGATGTTATGTATCAGAGATGTTCTATAACAAATTAAGACATTAAAACATTTATCAGACTAGCATGTAGGTGTCTCAACAAGCTAGAATTCTTCATGGTCACAATGCTTCCCAAGAATGGCTTTTGAAATGTTTAGAACAAAACAGAGAACACTACAAACTTCTATAACTTAGTTTACATTAGTAACAACTTTTTTTTATATATAATCACTGTTTATTACATAAACTGTTTGGTTTTTTTGAAAATGGTAAGAGATGATAAACTGACGTCACACTACGGAACCTGTGACCGGTGCTCTGTGCGTATATGTTAAAATATCCTGACAAACGTTTTCGAGCGTTCCAATCGCTCTTCTTCAGGTCAACTGAAGGAATTCCCCGGACGGAGTGCACAGAGCACCGGTCACAGGTTCCGTAGTGTGACGTCATTTTCATCCCGGTGCTGTGGATAGAATAGTTTCTGCATTTAAGATGATAAACTTTTTTAACAAAAGCTCTTTCTTATGAAAAGTTCTCTATCCAACAATATTCAACTCAGCATACATTCTGATATGCAAATTTAGAATTAGACCTGATTGGTTCTATTTCTGCTAGATCTCAATTGACACTATCTCCAATTGATTCTTCGAATGGGCTTTGTCTATTGTGAGGTTCCAGACTGAGTTTGAACCTCTTGTTAAACATTCTGAGAAAAAAGAATTTTTATTTCTAAAGTCTAAAAGGAAATGAGTCATGAGTTCAACTCTAACACTTGTTGTTATATAGATTAATGTCAGTCTGGAGAGTTCAAACTTTGACTCTGATGCTTATATAAAGATGACAGGAGTTGGGGAAACTGAGCAATTTGGTGAGAGAAAAACATCGTGTGTTGTAATTAAAATTTGAAAATGTCAAAACAAGAACCATGGTGGTCTAAAATAAGAGTGCTCAACATCATCTCCTAGTCAGAGTCAAGAGATGATGATGAGTTGAATACTGAAGATTGACCTTTCTTATGACCAATTCAATCTTATTTCCACCTAAAAACAAGGGAGGAGACCAGTCAGGAAATGATAAGAGAGAATTGGGACCAGTTAAATCATGGAATTTGCAGATAAAATTTTCTAAAAACTCTGAATTTCAAGGACTAAGCACAGATTTCCTTCTCTGAATTTTGCAAGGTACTTTGTGCATTCCTTTTTTTCTGTTTTTGCAACATCATCATCATTGAATCACCATCACCCATCATCCTCCATCTGCTGGACTTATCATGACACTGCTCTGCGGCTGCCAATGACACAACGAAGAGACACCCTCAATGAAAATCTTTGGACACTCCCTCTCTCAAGATCATCATTAGAGAAGGAGCATCTTCCCAAAAGACTTTGTAAGCCGCCAGTTTATAATAATTTTTTTAATAAATGGGTTTCTTTTGTAAAAATACCTGTATGTCAGTATGTCCACCACTACCCATGTACAGTACAGTCTTTTACCCCTTGTTCATCTTGACTTGAGTCTAATTGACTCCTCCCCTGGTTGGCAAGTCTTACACTATTAAAAAATTTTTCCCAATTGTTTATGATAGTTTTCAAGAAAAACATGTGATACAGGTGATCTGAAACACACTATATAAAAATGTTTTATAAACATAACTATAATATGTTTATAAAATGAAATTTTTTAAAAAATGGCATTAATATTCTTATTAATTTGAGATAAGCAATATTATAATGGTATCTAAAGTTGTTACAAAATGTTAGTAATAAAATTTGTTTCATTTGATGGTAAATTGTGAATGAGAAACATAATTATACAGGTATACCTTGACTTACGTCATTCTCAATTATACGTCGTTTGTCAAAATAGTATATGGAAAAATAAAAATCAAGTTTAAGTCATTTTATTCAACTTTACGTCTGTCCACCACAAGTATTGAAGTCGTAATATCACTAGAAAAACATTTAAAGCACATAAAATCATATTAAAATATATACAAGTATGTACTGTAAATACAGTACTGTATTTACAGTACATGCATTCGTAAATTTAGAATACTTTTTTCTGTACTATATTAAAAATTAAAATTTATTTGTTTGTAAGCTTAAAATAGATTTTTATTAACCATATATTATTAAAAATGCATTAATAAATAAAATACAGAACTGGGAATGGTAATTTATGGTTTAGCCTACTGACAAGTAGATTCGGAGACAAGTAAATCCGACTTGCGTTGTTTTTCGACTTACATTGCCTCTCCTGGAACCAATTACCGGCATAAGGCAAGGTATACCTGTATTAGAATTTTTAAGAATATTATATTAGAGATATTATAAAACTTGTTTTCAAATCTGTGATTAGATTACAACAAAATATTATAATTATATTCTATAGGAAACTGATGAAGACTTGTCTACTGGACTTGATGTTGGATTTGATAGATTTGCTCTGCAGTTTGGTTTAATGGATGCTTCTGATTTATCTCCTATGATGGCTTCCCCAGAAGTAAGTTATTGTGTTTGTACTTTCAACAACTTTTAAGTTTTGAATTATACAGAAAAGAATCCTATGTTAAAATAAAATAATGTTAAGTAAATGAACATGTAAAGACTAAATATTTTTCAAAATCCAAACTTAGTATCAAAAGAAATTTCTAAATTCAGAATATATAAGATATATTTGGTCCAAAAAAAAATGAAATGTTGCTTAATTGCTGATCTTGAGTACTTAAATTTAGACAAATATGAAAATAATAATTAGTAATGAAGAAAATGAAGAACTCTATTATGACATTTATTTTTCAGCTATTTCTGTTCCATCTTTTATGTTGTATTTTTAAATATGTTTGAAAAAACTTTAATTGTTAGAAGCTATTTCAATTTAAATTTGATAGACATTTTAATATTGAGGAAAAAATTATATCATCTAGTAATTATTAATAAATTCTGAATTAACTTTTTAAAATTATTTCTAATGTTTTTCCAGATTAAGTTAGTTTATTATTTGTTATTAATTAGATTAATCAGCTACAATAACTTTGATATATTTTAAAATATTGAAGTTGAATATTTGAATAAGAATATAAATATGAAGTTAGATAAATTTAAGAATTTATAAAGCAAAAATGTATATGTAGAAAATAATTATATATAATTACACTATTGTTATTCTTTTGAACCATATATCAATAATTCTTGAATATCAGCTGAATAGCTTGCAAAACCTTGAACTATTTAAATATTGTACTTCATTTGTTAAGTTTGTTATTTGCTGAAACTGTCTAAATTCAGACAAAAAACATTTCACTTATTAAATAATTCTTTGATATCCTTAAAAATAGCAATTTTTTATTATTATTTATTAAGACATGGTGCTATATTTTATCGAATTTTCATAAAAGATAAGTCTGATAAGCATAATCATGGTATTAGACCAACAACAGAAATATTACAGAGACTAACCCACATGGTTAATTAATTTCTGCACAGTTTCTTTCAAAGGCCTTTCAGTGTGTTTGAGATCCACTGTACCTCCATCTTAAAAACAAAATTTAATCATCTTAAACATCTTAAAAACAAAATCTGTGTCATTGAGTGACTTTTGAGCAGGACTAACACTGTTGACCAATAATTGTCAGTAGCTGAAAAGACTACCCGAGATCTGCTTCCTTTTGCATCCACTTATCAATGCAAATCAGGCTTTTCAACTTTTACTTACACTGAAAACAAATTTAGAATTATCTTGGATGTTGTCCCAGATTTATGTATTCAGCTGTCAGACAAAGCTCAATATCAATACTATTTTAAGTATAAAAATGAAACAATTTCATTTATCAGACTACATATAAATCCAATATTTTCTTGTACCAAAATTAAAGTTTATGGTTATATCTAAAAATAATTTTTCTTTCTTTCCAAATCTACTATGTTGTGCAAACGATTCAGGCATTAAGAGTAGGTGAAAGAAGAAAGAATGATATGAGTTCACAATTCTCAATAAAAATCAGGAATAGAGTTAGGGTTCTGTGAAAAAAATGTTTTCTGAAGGATTCATTGACAGAAAAAGTTTGGAAAACTACTAATGTACTATACATGATGTGCTCATAGTATGTGAAGAAACAATGATTTCAACCTTTCTTGTTAATAAGCTCAGTAGTATTTATCCTTTCCTCAAATTTACAATAGAAACTGAAACTATGCATAAAACTATCTTCTGTTTAGATTTACATATTTTCTGTGAAGACTGTAATTTGGTATTTGGTATATACTACAAATTTAATGTCCCATCTAAAATTATCCCCTGTAATTCTTTTCAATCAGTACAGTTAAAGTATATGGATATACTTTAGTTTGCAGGGTGTATCTCAAAGTCTTCAGAATTGTTAGTGAAGAAGTTAGATACTATCTGTTTAGCTCTGCTAGCAGTGGATTACCATGAGTCCAAGTTTAATTATATTTGTAGCAAAGTCTGCAAGTTGTCATTAGTTTCTTCCACACATCATACTAAACACTTTTAGCTTCTGTGTTTGCATATCCCTTAAATCACATAGATGTATTTAAAACCTGTAACACTTTTTAAGAAATATGGGTATGTACAGTACTGTACTACTAGTCACCCTGTTAGCTACCTTAAAGAGGTTAGTTGTCATGGATAGATCACTTTGTCATATTTTGGAATTTTCTGGAATATCTGTCTCTCATCTCCCAGCCACCCCATTGTGGGTTTGACCAAACCCATGATGGGATTGAAATAAAGGTCCTCTTATGCCCAGAAGACATAGAGTAAAAAAATTATTACATTTTGTAGTTATTTAATGTAAATTAGTTATGCTTTATACAGAATTTATTTAAATATTCAGTATAATATATAAAAGCATATTTTAAAATAATTATAGATAGAAAAAAAGGAATCAAGTAATCATAACAGTAATTTGGATTCAACTCCTAAATCATTGTTGAAAAATTTATTTGATGCATCTTTTGATGTAAATGATGATAAAAATAGTATGGAAATTAAAAGTACAGATGGTGAGAGATTTTTCAATTTTCTTAAGTAAGTATGAAAATATTTTAAATATAAAAATACAGATATTAGATTTTTAGAAACATTTGCTAAAACTTTTAATAATTCAATTAGCATTTCATAATTAATTTTTTTTCTTAATGCTATATATACATATTCTATCTGTAAATTTATATAAATTTAAATTTGACTTATATTTAATGAATAAAGACCATGGCCATGCAGATAAGAGCAAACAAATTTTTCAATGCTGGATGTTAGTGAGTGAATGGCTGTAATGTTGTCAGATTATGATGTTTCTCACTTTCTCATTTCTTATTTTCACTAACATATTCATGTAGTAGGATGAATTTTTCTTTTTTATTGAAGAGTGTAGAAAGAAAATGGATTGACCATTACATTCACTATTTCTAGTTTTATTATTTTTTCAATTGCTTATCCTGTATTTTGGGATAAGCCATAACTGAATTAATCTCTCTGGAAGAAAAAATTTAATAATTTTTTTCTTGCACTTATACACTGAAGAAGCTATGTTTGAATCATACAAATATCAAAAATGAAGTAAGGAGCTAATGCACAATCACAGTATAAAGCAAGAATTCAAATTGTGATAAAATCAAACAATGCCAGATATGTCAGAGAGATTTTCAGTCCGGCAAACTAGAGATTCTATTTTTTATTGTTTGCATGGCTTTGCTTTTTGAGAACAATATCACTACAAACTTCTAGCTCACTACTATTCTTGTTTGTTTGACAAAACCTAAATTCATAGATTTATATGAAGTCAATCTTAGATTGTTTTCAATTTTTAATGTTAAACTGAGCTATTAATATTTTATTTTTTTTCTAAGTTATTTTTATTAATTATCAATAATTAAAAGTGGATATATTGTACTTGTAATAATTTATTTGAAATGTAAAATAACAACATTTAAAATATAATTTTTAATTTGAAGTTGTTTCAGTGCTGTTTCCTAATACAATTTTCATATAATTATCAACTAGTCTTTGGTAAGAGATTAATTGATTTAATCTAGTTCTAAATATGTCAAAATTTTCAAACAAGTAAAAACATTGGAAACAAAATTGTATTAGATTCAAATTTTAATTGTTAAGTAATTGTTATAAATTTTTAATGAAATACATATAACAATATCAGGAAATTTTATTAATTAGCTTAAACATAAGCAGCTAGAAAATTTTAAAACATTGAATTGAAATTTAATGTTTTAACTTTCCAAAGAGATGGCCTTCCTTCAATTTATCTGAGTTTGATATATATCATAGTATTACCCTCCCAGTAATTCATGGTAAAACCATCTGATGTAATTCCCAAGCATTTGCAAAAAGAAAAAAATAGTTTAAAATTTCCAGTATTTTTTTTCTTTAACAAAGAAAAATCAGTATTTTGTAATTATAACATTCATTTGCTATGCAATAAAAAGCTTTAAATTTTTTTTCACTTTTTTCATGATTTTTATTTCTACAACATTGTATTACAACCATAGTAAATAGAAAGCCCCTTTCTTGTCTAGTCTTGAATTATTGGTGTAGCAACAAGAATGAGTTGAGTGTCTCATGTGATACAAAGCCTTTAAGCTAATGATAACAATTATGATAAGTAAAAAAGTTCATACTACATGATTTCCTCAACTCATTGATGTTGCTACACCAATATTTCAACACTTGCAAGATGGACTTTTGTTATTGCGTAGTCTTGTTTTGCATCTACTCAGAAAATTACAATGAATAACATGTTTAAAGTGAATGGAAAATTAATAAATAACAAATATGAATTTTCTCTGCTAAAATTATAAAAATGTTTCACATATTAAACCTTTAAAAAAAACATTTGAACGTAATACATATTACAGCAGTTGAACACCTTTGCCATTCAGCTATGCCATTGTTAATACAGTAGAGCATCGATTATCCGACTCAATTGGGAACTGGAGTTGGTCGGATAACTGAAAAATATGAAAAAATACATTATTAGTATAGTATATTAGTATATCCCATGTAATTAGTATATTAGTATATCGCTATTAACCTACTTTGCGTTGAATTTTCATTGATGTTAAGCCTAACAAAAAGTTTTTAAAATAATAAATGTCGCTATTGTATCGTTAAAATTAGAAAATTAAACCTCGTTTAAATACTGGCTTCCTTTCATGGTCAAGCCAGTGTTGCCAGCTAAAACACGTAAAAATAATATTAAAGTAGCCAAGATATAGCCAAATACTGTTGTGCCACATCACTAGTGGACATTTGAATTTGCCGACTAGAACGCGGTCGGTTAACCAATGTGACAGTTGATCGGGGATCGGATAATTGATGCTCTACTGTATATTATCCATATAACACAGTACATAAGGTACACAGAAAATCTTAAAATCATTTTTTTATATGAATACTTGAGAGTTGCATCAAGTGGCTTTACCATGAATTAGTTGGAGGGTAGTACTGTGATATGTATCAAACTCAGTCAAATTGGATAGGATATTAGGGAGCCCTTGGAATGAAATTAAGGAAATTTATATTCACTATATTAGGAATTATTTTAATAATTTAGATAGTCTTAAATAAAACTATATATTTATATAATTAGTCTTACTGCATTAGAAATTGTAAGCAATTATTTTTAATAAATTTTATAAAAGAAACATTGTTAAAATATTTTTTAATATCATACAAAGTGTAAACACTTATTTTATATAATATTGATTATATAATATGTGATTTAAAACCAAAAATTTATAGTTTATAAAATTATAATGTTTAAAATCAATAATAATCATTTTAAGATTTGATTTTCATAATTACTCATGAAATTTTCAAAACAATAAAAGATAAAAGTATTTCACAGCAGCATAGCTTACATCTGGATTCAAATTATATTGATAATTTACTTAAAAATTAGTAGAATTATCGCTCAGGTAATTTGATATTATTTGGCTTATATTTAAATGAAACACCCATTTATTGAAAAAACTTTTTTTTTAATTATTATTTAGATATTATATATAATGTCTTTGCATATTCAACATTATAACTAAATAATAGCTGTTGCTAATAATAACTGAATGTAGATTACAGTTCTAATATATGGAATTATAATAGGGTGTTCCTCTTAAATATTTTATGTGCATTTTTAATTTACATTAGACATATTTATTTTTTTATTAATTTCTGTGCTTGTTATTTTTTTATATTTATTTTTAAATAATATTTGCCTTAATTTTCAATAAATATAATTATAGGAATATATATTTGATTATTTTATTTGTAATTATAAATTGGTGGTATTTATATATTTAGAGAAGTAGAAGAGCTTAATGAAAAATCATCAGAGAAAGAAAATTCATATCTAATAAATAAATCAAAAGAAGAAACTGAAGAATCTGAAAATGAAATAAATAGTATTAATGATGAAACAAGTGATCCAAAAGAATTATCAAAAACTAATAGAAATATTCATAATGATTTTGAAAAAGATTATAAAGAATATGATCAGAAATTACAAGAAATGGAAGAAATCTGGAAAAAGGAATTAATAGAAAAGGAAAAAGTATTGCGGTATGTAGGAAACATAAAACATATTTTAATATAAAATTTAAAACTTTGATGATATAATTGTGTAGTTAGAACTGAAAAATTTTTACAGTTATGGTGACAACACTTTCAGTAATTTAAAATAAATATAAAATTGTAGATGAGTAAAAGATGAGTAAATGTCCAAATTAATTATTATTTTTAAGAAAACATTTTGGTCAGATTAAGATTAATATCTTATGAGTAAATTTTCTGTATTCAGCTTTCTAAATAAAGTATCTTTAATCAAATATATTTATAAAAATTTTATTAAACTGAAGAAAAGGAATTTGTTAAATCAACTATGTCTTGTTGAGGTGGAGCATTAGCAAAGCCTCTTTTATGTTGTTTACAGAATTGTGTTCATTCTCAAAATTTGATTAATTGATTTTGATTAAATTTTGCCATTTTCCATTAATTCAGATGAGTACTCCAAAATGTAATGAAAAATGGGGGTCTACAACTTTATTTTTGAGCTACAGTGGGGTCAAAATAATGATGTCCATGCTCCCTGATGATGCAATTTAGCATGCCTAACAGAATTTAGGGGAGGGGAAAAAGCGTTGCATGCACCTATTGGATAATAGGCATGAAAAACAAACATAAGATCAAAGCAATCATTGCTTTGTTTTTATGTTTGAACAAATTAAGTATTGATTGCTTTGTTCTTGGATTGCCTCCTCCATAGTGGCAAGTACAAGGATTGCCAGTTCATGCCAAGCAAGTGTAAGATTGCCTCTTCCTTTCTGGCTTCTCCTCAATTCTATTGTGATACAACAAAATTGTGTGATGTCTTAGTAATAAAGCAATAGTAGTATGTAGAATTTTTTAACCAAATAAAAACAAATTGAAGTAATATAAGTTTGATTAAAGTAATTTATTTCATTAGGTAGTAAGATTCTATATAAATCCAATTGGTAACAACTAATTATAAGTTTAAAAAACTTCATTTAACTGAAGTTGTAAATTGTTTTCAAAATAACTACACAAGTAACAAATATTTAAGTGATTGAATAATCTAAAATATGTGATATCTATATAGTTTTTTGATAAAACAGCAAAAATAGGCTCATCATTGACTGCATGGAAATATTAATTAGACTATCTATAATATCATTATTATAATGGTTTTGTTGGTTGAGTGTAGCCTACTTGGCCTATATACTAGTGCCTAATGCTATGCCAACTAAGTCAACAAGCTATTATTTTGTTTCTATTCTGTTTAAATATGTATTTATGTTTAAGAATTTTCTAATTTTATGATGTGTATTTCTTTAGTGTGATGTGTATGCTGTTGTGAAGCCCTAATATTTATAGACTTTTGTGTATATGGGTACAATAAAACCTTTTTAAGTCGAAGTTTAAAGGATAAAAAAATCCAGCTTCGAGTTAACAAGTTTAATATTTGATTAAAAATACATCGCACTAACCTTGTATAGCTTTGCAGTTATACTTAAAAACGTAACATAAACATTTTCAACCCGCTTCTAGGTCTTCCTCAGGTTAGTGTTATACAAGGTTAGTGCTACATATCTGTAATTATCACTTTGTTTATTAGATGGATTTGATTAATATTTTATTATCTTGAATTTTTCTATAGGCATTAGTTATTAGAGCATTTAATTGTGTTATTTTTACTTTTGAGTTATCTATATTTGCCATTTTATGTTTATAAAAATGGGTATTATTTGAGGTGTGGGAATAGATTAATAGATCACTTTCCATTATTTCTAATGGGAAAAATTGCTTTGGACTTCAAATGATTCAGTTTGAACATCCTCCTGGAATGAATTAAATTCAAAGTACAAGGCACCACTGTATTGTATTTTATTGATTTATAGATATTACCTTGTAACACTTTGTGAACCATCCTGTATAATCTATTAGGAAATTCTGACTTATAAATTTTTAATTGCTTATTATCATTTTTAATTATATCAATATATGATCATCCTCATTTGTAACATGAAACATCTTTTGTTACCTTATTTGACAGTTTAAATTCAGTGTCTCAATGATCTTTATTGTAAATTTATATTAGCTAGAAAGATTAAAATTATTTAAAAAACTGTGCACTATGATCTTAGTAATTTAAAACCTCTATAAAAATTGTTATACAGTCATTTGTAACTTTATATTTTAATTTTTGTACTGTTATTACTGTTTATATTGGTACTTTTTATTTAAATGCTTAATTTTTTCACTTTATTTTATCTATTAGACATTGCTAAGATATTTTTGTATAATTAAATATTACAATTCATAATTCTAATGATTAATGCAAATGTCAGTTTACACTGCATGTTTTAAATTTAAGTTATATATATTATATTTTACAGATTAGAATATGAAGATTACATCAATCAATTACAAAATAAATTATTAGAAGAAAAAGAACTTCAAGAAGCAAAAATTAATGAAGAAATTGAATCACTTAAAAAAGAGAATGCAGAAGTACTGGCTAAACAAGAACAAATTTTTACAGAAGAATTAGAAAGTGAATTAGAAAGTGTTAAAGTAGAAATGGAATTAAAAAAACTTTCTGTAAGTTTTGTATAAATATATGAAATTAATTTGTTTTACATAGATACAGCTAATTGATAATTTATTTTAAAATTATTGTCTGATTCTGTTTAACAGATTGAAATAAAAAAGATTCTTTATTTTTATTGAATAATATAGATAGTTATAAATTTCACTTCACAAGTATAAAATAAGAGAAAAATGAATGCAACATGAGATAATTTAGTTAAATATATTCTTTTCTTCTTAATTATTTAAATTATTTTTTTTCTGTTAAAAGTAAAGAATAAAAACGTAAAAAGTGGGTTCAGTTCAATAATTAATATCCAAAATAAAATCCTTAGTACATAAACTATTTAAACATCTAAAGACTTAAATTAAAAAGTAAATAAATATATATGAATATATTTATACATTTTTAATCTAAACTGGAATCCATGTCCTTTGATAACATGTCCACAGTTTTCAGTAGGTTACAAAAGATGCAGATTTAGATCTACTTGGAATCAAAATACAGTTGTAATCTTGTTAATCTAAACTAAGTATTGTAATTTGTTTTTGATGTGGTGAAAAGTTTGGAATTACAGAATTATTAGATATGCAATGCTCCAGGGTTTCTCAAACTTTATTTTTCTCCCTTGAGTAGAATTACTTATTAAATTAATATTAAAAATAATCTTTGTTATAAAATCATTTAAATTAGAATTTAAAAATTTTTTAATTTAAACTTTATTTTATGTTTTTAATAAAGGTAAATATAGTAAAAAACATATTTTATTCCATGATATAATATGCTTATTATTTTCTTATGAGAACTTTAAGATCTTTTATTTCCCATTTGCAAACCTGAGGAGTCTACAGATCATAGATTGAGAAACACTGCATTACCCAAAGCATATCAGATATCCTGGTAACAAAAGCATGGATACTTGAGTATGAAAATTTCTACAGTGTTCAGCATTAGTCTATATAGTAGAATGATGGAAGTAGCATGATCAATGCAATCATCTGATGCATGAGCAGTGATACAATCATCATCAGTGCAAAGATGATGATTGTGCACTGATGATGATTGTATCACTGCTACTTGCATCAGATGTAACAAATCCCCCATTCTTTTGCTCTTTCCAATATTGCCCTGAAATTGATAGATCTTAAATGCAAATACAGTTGACCCTCATAACACTGTTGATAATTTCTTTTTATATGAATTCAATGTTGTATGAGTCACTTAGATTTTACAAATACGTGAGCCATTCACAGTCCGGCACATGTATTTGTAAAATTTAAGTGACTCATACAACATTGAATTCATATAAAATGGAATTATCAACAGTGTTATAGGGGGGTTGACTGTAGCCAGTTAAATAATCAAATATCATAGATTGTTTATGTTTCTTCCAGGCCACATGTTGTGTACCACTGATGTAAATAAATTTTAAATATATTATTGGACTGCAATTTTCAAATTGCAGACCTATAAACTTCTAATGCATCTATGTGTCTGTCCTTCCTTAATCTCAAGAACAAAGTTAGATATATTGTTAAAGTTAGATGAAAGTTGAGACCAGATATGGAAAGTTTAGGAGCAGGAGGCCTCAATTAACAATATATGAGTACAAACTTACAGTTTGATCTAGAAGCCATGTTATTTCAATTCAAAACTTTTCTCCAGAACAGAGTTAGCTAGATGACTGGAATGACTCTATTGTTAATAGGAAAAGTATGATGCACAGGGGCAAGACACTACTAAAACCAAGAGTATATATTTTAAATTAAATAAATTAAAACATATGATTAAAAATTGCAGCCTGTGCAATGTCACAATAAATAATTGTTCATTGTATTATTTTATAGGCGATATCAATGGTAATTGGGGATAAATGATAAATTAAATAGTGAGAGCCCACTATATATTTAAAATGTAGTAAAATATATATTTAATTATACTTAAATTTTAAATTGGTATATTTTTTAATATTAACAAATTTAATAAATTTAGGCATTGAATGAACTGAGAAGTAAAATCGAAAAAGAAAATGAAGAAGTAAGTTTGTAATAAAATTTATTTTGTAATACAGTGGTACCTCAGGATACGAATGCCCCAGCATACGAAATTTTCAGGATACAACGTGAAATTCAAACACATTTTTGCTCCACGATACGAACAAAAACTCACCATATGACGCTACATTAGTTCGCAGTGCCATTTTTTATTCACTTCTGTTCATTGGTCTCAGTCCGCATGTTTGCTTCATCATGGAAGGATCTCGCTCAATAAAGGAAATCTTGAGGTATTATCAGAAAGTGACTGATTTTATTGAAAAGAAACATCCCGAAAAGGTTCACACTGGCCGTATTGCTGCTCAGAGTAATGACATTTGCCTAAGTCATTTTAGAAACATTTTAAAAAGTAGGCAAAGCCAAACCTCTTTGGATAGATATTTTACCAAGCGACCTCTTTCCAGTGAAAGTGCTGGTGGAAGTGAAGGAAAGAAAGAAAAAAGCAGTGAATAAAAATTTTAAAAATATATATAAAACAACACTAATTTTTTTATCTTTTCTAAGTTATTGTTACATTATGTTATGAAAGTTAAGTTTTAGTTTCATTTCCCTTCTCCCTCTCTTCCACCACCAGTTTACACCTCCACCGTCGTCTATCCTCAAAGGTAAAGTGCAAATAAAACTACATTTTTTTTAAATCAGTTATTATTCTATTATGGTCATTTATACATTTACAACTACAAAATGCATTTTTCAGTATTTTCCTTACTATAGTTTTTTTTTTTTTTTTTCAATGTACTACTTAGCTTTAATTTGAGTGTGTTTTTCGTGTTGGAATGAATTATTTGGTTTTACATGTAATTGTATGGGAAAAAAATGATTCACCTTACGACATTTTCATGATACGATTTCAGTTTCAGAATGGATTAATTTCGTATCCTGAGGTACCACTGTAATTCAAAATTTTGGAATATTTGTTATAAAGTTTCAATTTAATAATTAAATTGATTTAGTTAAAAATTTTGAAAGAATTGTCTTTTAGATTGGTTTTTTTTTTATTTTGCTAATTATAACAACAAATTATTTATTTTATCAAATCTGGCAAATGATTTTTATTTCTTTTTATTGTAAAGATACACTGGGATTAAAAAAATTCACAGCACATTTTTATGATTACATAAAATATTTTAATATTTGATTGAATAAAATTCTTTAATTGAAACCAGCAAGCAACATATTTTGTTAATTCTGTAAAGATATGACTTATTTGGGCAAAACTTCATTAAATTTGGTTTGCGTATGTTTCAAACTATAGGGAAAAGCTTTATAAAAAAAAATAGTTTCATAAAATCAAAACCAGGAGTGTTATATGGAGTTCATGTCAATTTAAAAAAAAAAAACATTTGTATTCAGTTGTAATTAGCTTATTCAAGAAAGTTTAATTACTGACAATTTTAATGAAAATTGTAATTCTAATTTTTAAATGCAGCACATACAACAGATTTAATCAGATCAATTGCATGCTGCAGTTGAGAATGACATCTTATAGTATCAGCTGCTGGTTTTTAATCATAGCCACAACATTGTACATATCTTCTGATTGACACTAACAGCCTGATGATACTTCTTTAGCAGCATTGAGTTTCATTCCAGTAGTGCTTTGTTCACATTGATGTAAATCATTACAATTTTGGATAAACTACTTATGGTTGACTACAAATGTTTTTGTAAATCTAATTGATGGACTCCACATAGCATCTCCAGCAGTGACTTTTGGAACTTTTGTTTTTCCATAAAGCTTTTTGGAAATATGGTCTTCATGGTCTGAAATATGTGCAAACCAAATTTAACAAAGTTTTATCTATTGATTCTTTCTACAGAAGATGCTTCTGGATACTGTGACAGTATGCAGAAGTTGTGGGTTCAAGTCCCACTCTAGGCTAAATCTTTTTTTCCAGAAATTCTAAATTAAAATTAATTTATTATAATTATTAAAAAAATAATGAGTTGGTGGCTTAAGAGCTTATCTCTAGACAAATTACTTTGTAACTGATAATTAACTTAGCCTAATCATAGCCCATTCTGCTGTTAATTGGTTGGGCCATTGACTTTCTTTAACATAGAAAGTATAGGGAATTGACCATATGTGTGTCTGTAATTTGTGGCCAGCTCTTGCCAATTAGCTTCTTTGGTAACTGAGTTATTGTATGGCAACTGGGGCAAATATGAGTTAAAAATTTTGTTCATGAACCAAATTGTTCAAAAAGTGAAACATTTGAAACTGAGGTTTGACTGTATTGTAATTTTGAAAAAAAAAAAAAAAAAATTTAGAGATACAGTTGGTTTTATAAAATTTGTTTAATGTTTAATTATTATCTGTTTAATTGAAATTGGACTGTTTAAATTTAATAGTTTATTTTTAATTTTAGTCATTAAAAGTACTTCAGGAAGAACTTGAAGAAAAATATTCAAAGGAATTTAAAGAGAAAGAAGAAAACTTAATAAAGCTGTATGATGAAAAAGAAAAAGATATGGTAGCAGAAGTAAGAATTGTTTTTCACAGTTTTTTCTTGATTTCTACTGTAAAAAAAGATATTATAATTAAAATAATTTATATTCTTCTTTTACATCAAAAAAATAACAATAATAATAATAATTTAGATAATTTAATCATTTTAAATATTTTATTTTCTTTATTTATATGTTTTTTTAAAGAATTTTAAGATTAACACACAATAATTTTAATTTTTTCTAGTATTACAATACAATAGAGCATCGATTATCTGAAACAATTTTGGACTGTGGTTGCTCAGATATTGAGTTTTCGGATAACTGATCATTTACGAAAAAATATATTAAACACAAAACTATACTGTATATAATTTGTATCGCACATCTTATAAATACATACCTTACGTAATGTAGTACATTAAACTAGGCCTACAGTTCAGTTTGGCAGGGAGGGGAAGAGTGCTGCAATGCCACAGCCATAGCGGAAATTTGAATTTGCCGACTGGAACACTTTTGGTTAACCGATGTTTTAGTTGATCAGTATTCGGATAATTGATGCTCTACTGTAATAATAAATTAAATAATATATCATAATTTCCACAACAACACCTTATCTCACTGAGAATTATTTATTAACTTTGACAAACATTTTCAACCTGTTCTACAGTCCATCTTCAGGTTTTTAAAAATTCATGGAACATTGATAACTATTCTTTTTGAAATAGAACAGTTAAGAACATTTAAAATACAAAATTCTTTGGAATAATGAACTATTTGAATCCAAAGAATAAATTACAATAATATACAGTAAACTCCCAATTATCCGGGCTAATGGTGGGGAGAGGTGGACGGATAATCTGAACTATAATTATTTATTTCTAAAATACGACATGTAGATTCACCTTTTTCAAATTTTTCAATTAACGTTAGTTTTTGTTTTATAGTAAGTACGACTTTCTTTTGATTATTAGGAATTTTAAGAGTACTTATCTGAAAATTTAAAAAAACATCTTATTTTACGTAATTTTACACTAAAAGTATTTGTGGGAGAGTTATTTGAAAAAAATATTATGTATAATATGTATTATACATACATACATATAATCAAATCTTAAATTGTAATACATATTATAACATGCAACTAAACGAAACTTTGTATAAATGTACTCACTATCGTTTTCTCCTCCGAAAAGAAACATCCGTCGCGAAAGAAGAGGCCTAACTAACACCAGTCCAGCTGACTTCAGATACCCCCACCATCCGCTTCAAACATCTAAATACAAATACATGCACACTTACAGGATGTGTAAACATGAAAACGAGCACTATTTAAAAATTACATACACATATAATTATTTTTTAAAATTAAATTCAAGCACGCATAATCAGGAGTTTACTGTATATACAATTTAAAATAACAAACTAATAAAATAAAAAAGAAAAAAAAAAAATTACAATCATAACATTAGTTGTTAATTGTATGGACATTATGCAGTATTCTCCAAGTTCTTTTCAACTATATATTTCCACACTGTAGGTAACACTGTGGCATCTTTATACTTCATACATATGCCCAAGTTGACCACATCCAAAAACTGTTGAATTGTATTTTTGTTTCTCCATAATCTGAAGACATCATCTACATACTTCTTGTATAGTACAATGTCAGTCATAAAATGTATAATAATATTCTTTTCCAACTTACACAGAACTAATTTATATAGCAAACCTGATATTGGGCTTCCCATGGGCACACCTTTGCTTTACCTATATATCTGGCCTTCAAAGTTGAATCGGTAACAGATAAGATCTGCTAGTTGTTTCATCTCCTTAGGAAAAGCAGTTACTTCCAGTTTTAAGAGATACATGGTGTCTATTAGTGCCTCATAGCATGATACTATTTTAATTGAAGGGTATAAGTTTTCAAAATCCACAACCATTCCAATTTCTTCATCCATTAACGATAGATTTTGCCATTCGGTTACCAGGCTTTGTAGATTTTTTGTTACAAAGTTATTGCTCTCCAGTTGGTTTGCTAAGAACCTATACAAGCATTTTTCAACTATATATGTAGACCCTTTGCATTTCTCAACCACTGGTCTTATCTCTTATGTGTTCTTATGCATTTTCACAAAACCAAATAATCTAGGTACCCTTGAGCTAGGGTTATGGGAGCCCTTAAGGAAAGTTAAGATTGAGGCAAGGGATGTTTTTCCAGTCTTTTGACTTTTCTGTCCAGTTTTTCAACAATATTTTCTTCTGTCCTTTCACACGCTGTTTTCTCAATGTATTCTTCCAATGCTTTATTATAAAATTGTCTTTTTCATTATGACTAAATGTCTGCTTTTGTCAGCTCTTGTTAAGATTAAATTATTCCTTGTTAACTGTTGTTTCATGCATTTAACCTCTTTCATTTCATCATCTTTTTTATGCATATGGTCTTTAAGGACTGCCTTCCATCTAAAATAATCCTTTTCTACCTCATCAAGTCCTGTGACTCCTCTTTCTATTTCAGATATCATGTCTTGCCAATACTTGCTGTTATCAGGTGCAAAAGTGGGACCTTTTTCAAGGAGCTTCCTAACGTCATCTGGAACATTGATGTGGTCTCACAACATAAATGGTGTAGATTATTTTATTCTATCTCTTTTTCTTGTTTGCTTAGTACAAGACCAGCTTCTTGCTGTATTTCTTTCTTAAATTACTTTGCACTTGATTTGTTAATTTAAACATACTTAAATTAATTTAAACATACTTAAGTTAATTGTTAACAGGCTGTTTGGTTCCTCAAAATGTATTTCATTTTCCAGCTTTATGAGTTAATTTAATACTTTATTCTTCATATTTTTGGTTCTTCATATCTTGCACCAATGTACAAGATCGAATTAGGGAGATTGGCAGAATTAAGAAAGTTGCAAAAAGTTTAGGATACAAAACATCTATGATTGACGGTTTGGTCAAGGATTACAGACAAGATGCAAGCACACATGATAATAGAGGAAACAGGATTAATAAATTCACACATAATAGGAATGTAGAGGGAGTAATGGAGGAATTATGCAAATATAAAAACACAAGAATGGTATATAAATGAGTGCCAAACATATATAGATTTCTAAGAAATGATAAGGCTGAAGTAAGAATGCAGGAGAAGGCTGGGGTTTATAAAATTCCTTTTGAAAATCAGCAGTTAGGAGAGGCAAAGGATTATGTGGGTGTCACCAAAAGAAACTTATCAATGCGTATGAGAGAGCACTTTAGTATGACGTTGGTAAAGGACACAACAACACCATTTTGGCAATCATGGCACAAACAGATGGAGTGAATGTAAAATGGCTTCAGGCAAGAATAATTAAGACAGTCCATTTTCTGATGATTGCATTGGGTATGGAGAAAATGGAGATATATAAGAGTAAAGTAAATAACAATTGCTTAAATTCCAAGGACGCTAATGCTCTTCCAACAGCCTGGAAATATGTGCTAGAAAAGGAAATGAAAATTAAAACCCATAAACTTGTGGCAGTTGTTTTTTAACTGGTTTAATGTATGTTTTCATTATATTAGTTTATTTTTACATTTTGTTTAATTATATAATATATTAGTACTGTGTTAGCTATTTAACATTTACAGTTTAATGTAAAGATTTTAAAAATATGTTAGAAAATTTTAAATTTAAAGAATGTTCAAAAAGCTTTGTGTTTGATTGTAGAACAGTAATTTCCTGAGGATGACCTATTAAAAATAGGCTGAAAGCATTTGAATATTAATGTTAAGTTCAGTTGTAACATGTGTCAGGTGTGTGGATGTCAGCAAGTGGTGATGGACAGTCCACAGCTTTGTCACACGTGTCAGGTGGGTGAGGTAACAGTATCCCCAAGAATGTGGGGGAGATTATCCCGCCTAGAGAGAGAAAATTTATGGGCTTTCCTTTGTGGTGTGTGTGGAGGCAGTGCTGAGAGGAGTGCTGACCGCAGTACTGACCGGGGGAGCTAACCAGAGTGGGTAGCTGTGTGGCTGGTCAGGAACCAGTGTTGTAATTACCAATAATTGTTGGGTGCCTGAGTGTTGCTGATTGTGGAGTGCCAGAGAGTCACTCGCTGATTTGGAGACATTAAAGTGTCATTGTATTGTGTGAGATTATGGACAAGGGTCAAAGCTCTCTAATCGTCAGATCTGAAGGATCTGCTCACTTTGTCACTGGATGGCTTATTCTAACAGAACCCGAGTGGTAAGATTCTGTGTGGGGTTGTGCATAAGAAATAGACCAGACAAGAAGGTCATTTAGTATAAAAATCAACAATTTAATCACAGAAGACCAAAATAACAAGGACAAGTAGATAAACAATAAAACATAAAACATATGGTTAAACTAAGTCTATAATCCTTGTGAGAGAGAGAGTTTACAATAAAATCATATTACTGTTGTTTAGTAGTAAGGCGGTAGCATATTCACTCTGTGGCCTGATGAGTAGGCTGGACGAGTCTATATGGCATAATCTGCCGGTCCTATGGCATGTTCCTTCTCTTCGTGAACTGCCTTTACATGGCAATTCTATCTGGGCTGAACTGCCCCGATTCTATCCAACCCTACCTTTTTATCACTGACTATTTCACAATAACGATTCCCAGAGATGCATCATCTGACGGGATAAATCGCTGTGTCATTCGGACCGGGTTGGGAATATTCCAAGATTGAAGGTGTGGAGGAAGGAAGCAAAACATCCTCAGTTCTTGCTAAATGTTACATTATAGAGTATTTTTGCAAGATGTTGAAGTTTATAACCTTTTTAGGTTATATTAATTTTATTCCAAATTTTATAATTGTTTTAACCATTTTAAGGGAAAATTAAGTTAAATTATTTATTTTGGTTTATTTAGGGTGTATTAAAATATGTAACTCAGATTGGGAGTTCATCCAGATTATCACAATTTTTATTGTTACAAAGGAAGTGTGTACTGTGTTCTTTTAGACCGTGTAAACGGGAACATTTCATACCACCATCATCACAACATCATTTTTTATACAACAATTAAATTAATAGTAAGCTCAAGTTTGGTGTTTGATTATATTTGCTTAAAAACTGTTGTAACCGAGAGCCAATTTTGCATAAAATAATTTTCATTTTTAACATATGAATGAAAATGATCACGAAACAGTCCTCCTGTTCTAATTAGCTATAGTTAATATAACATTAGTATAGCAGATTATTGCCAAATATCAACACAGATTTACTTAATGTTATTTTGATATAAGAAAGGATTTAAATTCATGCAAAATTTTCAATGACATTTTGGCAGTTTGTAAAATTTACTTTAGTTAGTTTATAAGATTTATTTGTAAAATTATTTTTTTTAGATGGAAAAGAATTTAGAGGATAAGAGACAAAATATCCAAACTTTACATCAACAAGAAATAGAAAATTTAATACAGAAAAATACATTAGAATTGGAAGAAGTGAAATGTCAGCAAAATGTAAGAATCTCTTGCTACTATTTCTAAGATATGTATTTATGTAATAATTTTAAAATAACAATATATAAATTAATTTAGTACTAACAAGGTGTTTATAAAGTCTGCATAATTTTTGTTGTTTGAAACTTTGGATGTATACATAATAAAATGACTGTGACCTAAATATTTTTTTATTTTTAAGAGTTTAATCCTCCAAATTTAATCTCAATATAATTTCATCTCTTAACCCTCAGCATAATTGCCACTATTCATGATGTATCTCATTCATTGAAAACATTTCTCATTGCTGCTCAGTGATTTCTTGAATTGCATTTGTGATCTTAAGGTCATTAAAATTATGAATTCCATTGAGTATATAAGTTTTAATGCAATATTTGAATATACACTAATGCAGTTAATCTTTCTTCTAGTGTTAATTTACATTGTCATAGTCATTGAAAAGAATCTATAACTGAATGTTTAATAAAATATTTAAATTAAAATTAAAATATGAATTAAAATTGTTTTAATTTGTTAACTCAAAATCAAATGCATATAAAAAAATTTAGGAATCAAGCTTTTAAATTCCTTTTTATTCTATGGATTTGTCATGTATGTGTTTAAAGTTGCATGCAGACATTATAAGCATCCTGTATTTCAGTAAGTGACATTTGATTACAGAAGTTTAAAATATTACTATGTATTTTAAAAATGGAATATTGTAATAAATCTTGACTTACTGTACCATATTCTAGAATCATCTAGATATTGATATAGATATCTTGTTTAATTAAGATATTTTTTAATGAAAGTTTTTTTTTCTTCTGAGCAGAAAATGTTATATAAATTAAAAAGTGTAATAGAAAAATGTTAAAAACAGATAATGTTAAAAAAATAATGTTGTTTCTCTCTCCTCTCTCTCTCTCTCTCTCTCTCTCTCTTCTAAGTATTTTTACTGTTTTATTATGTGAGAACCGAGGGGGTATGACTACGTTGTACCTCCGTGGATTGGCTTTCAAGTTGGAGGGACTTGCTCACTTGTCAGAGATGGCTTAAATTTTTAGTTTATCCTGAGGGAACGGGACTAATTTTTCCTCGAATCTGGTCGAGTGTAGGAGGGAGGAGTGCCATCGGTAAGGTGACAGGCGATATATGAAAGAGGACACCAATTTAACAAGGAAACAACGATTTATTGGCTATCTACATAAACGGTACAATAACTATTATCGAGGGGAAATTCTGAGTCCCTAAAATGCAAAGGGCCGAGAGAGAGTTCACAAAAATTTGTTTCATACTTCTTTATGTCGATAGTTCTCTTGAGGAAATTAATATTATACATAGGGAACAATATTCGTAGGACACAGTATTTAAGTGACAGTGGATGAACGACTCCCCCGAGAGGGGAGAAGCAAGTGGCTTTTATAGTTTCGTCATGGGAGAATGGTCATGTGACCAATTGTTGTGAGGTAAAAGGTACTCGGATGGGTCAAAGTTGTTCCCAGGACCATGCTAACTATCAACTTTGGAGTTGGAATGTGGGATTATTTTCGAAGTGGATGGATGTTTACTTTGAACGAAAGGGGAGATTGGAATTTTTCCCTTTTTTTAAGTTAGGTTTTAGCTTAGGATTTAAAGAAAAATTTAATTGGGGTTTTAGGAAAATACGGGATATTAATCGGGAAATTTGGTAAAATTTCCGGATTTCACAATTATAAATGTTTAAAATAAGAATTATGTTTCTTGACAGAGTTGAAGGAAGAGGATTATTATTGAAAAATATTGCTTATTATTTTTTTGTCAATATATAATACAGTAGAGCATAGATTATCTGAAACAATTCGGGACTGGGATTGTTCGGATAACTGATTATGTTTGAAAAAATATATTAACCCATCCCTTGTTCAAACTTTTCTTTGTTGCGTGTTGCTTTGCATTGAATTTTCATTGATGTTAAGCCTAATGAAAAATTTTTTAAAATAATAATTGTGGCTATTGTATCACTAAAAATTATTTCTTTATTTTGCACAAACAAAATAAATATATTGAAAAATATAAAAACAGAAAAATTATATTTCGGAAGTTAATCTAGTATCAAAAACATTCCAATGCAGAAACGAGTTACATACCTTACATAAAGTAAGCCTACAGTTTAAGAAAAGAAGTCTAAAATTGTCTTTTGCTTTACAGCTGAGACTCGTTTTTTGCTGCTAAATCTTGCACACATTTTAAAGACAGCAATTGGATAGCATCACATTCTTCTTGCTGTCTAACCTCTTCATTGCCATCTCAAGGCAGTGAAAATCTCCCTCACTGGATGATTCTTTTTGGATGATCGTTAGGCTCTTCCTCATTGTCACAAGGGTCTCGGTCATTGATGACACTGGCAATGATTTCATTGTCCGACAATACTTGATAGCCAGGGTCATCAACATCACACTCAAGCCAGTCTTGAATGTTTTCCTTATTGCATTCTTCAAATCCAGAACATTCTTTTATCAGCCCAAATAGTTGTGATACAAATTGGCTGTTTGGTGGCTCTTCAGGTGCAGTGATAGACTCATCTGATAGTAGGAGCTTATTCCAAGTTGTTGCTAGTATAGTGTCCTTGACAGTAGCCCAAGCTTCTGCTGCCATGTACATAGCATCCTTTAATTTCAGTGTACACTTGCTGAATTGTTTTTTTTTTTTTTTTTACATTCTTCCCTGATCATTAACATACACAGTAATGCCTTTCTGTAATATCGTTTGAAGCTCTCAATGGCTCTCTGATCCATCAGTTGGAGGACTGAAGTAACATTGAGACACAAGAAAACAACTTTAAACTTTGTGTTTTCTCTTTCCAGTGAAATGTTTGAGGGATGACTTGGGGCATTATCAATCAACAACAAAACATTTCCAGAATTCCCAGTTTTAAGCTGATGCTTTTTTGACTTCAGGGATAAATACAGTTTCATACCATTCTATAAAACTGGTTGTATCCATCTGTGAATTCTTTTGATTTTTGTAGGTTGCTAGCAATTTTTTTATTCCTTTAAAGTGCCATGGTTGTTAGACTTTCCTACGATTAGCAAAGATAATTGTGCGTTCCAGTAACATTTCTGTATACCATAACAGTGATGCATAGTTTGCTTGCCTTAAAACCAGGTGTTTTCTCTTTCCAGTGAAATGTTTGAGGGATGACTTGGGGCATTATCAATCAACAACAAAACATTTCCAGAATTCCCAGTTTTAAGCTGATGCTTTTTTGACTTCAGGGATAAATACAGTTTCATACCATTCTATAAAACTGGTTGTATCCATCTGTGAATTCTTTTGATTTTTGTAGGTTGCTAGCAATTTTTTTATTCCTTTAAAGTGCCATGGTTGTTAGACTTTCCTACGATTAGCAAAGATAATTGTGCGTTCCAGTAACATTTCTGTATACCATAACAGTGATGCATAGTTTGCTTGCCTTAAAACCAGGTGCTGACATTTCATTCTTAGAAACTTTATCATTATTTTGTTGGCATTTTCTTCTAGTACAAACCAGTTTCATCTGCATTGAAGACATTGGTTTCTTTGTAGCCCTCCTTATCGATCATGTTTTTAAAAGACACTTTCAAATGTTCAGCTGATTCAGTATCAGCCAACAGTTTTTCATCCTGGATGTCCAATTCCCTAATTCCATGCCTAGATTTGAAATGCATACGTCAACCAGTAGTTGCTTTAAAATCAGTGTTATCCCCTAGTTTCTTGTTCATTTTAAGAGCTTTTTCACAAATCAAAGAGCCACTTATTGGCTGTCCTTGGCTACATACCTGCATGAACCATGTGTAAACTGCAGTGTCCAAATCCTGGTTTTCTGCCATTTTCATCGTTTTTCTCTGCAAGCTTCCATCTTCACTGTCATGTACACTTGCAAATTTTTTAATGGCATCACTGTTTTTTTTTAATGTCCAATATTGTGGCATTTCCAACTCCATATTCCTGAGCTAAGCTTGATCCACTACCACCACTGTTCAATTGATCTACTATTTTAAGTTTATCGGAAACACTGAGAACAATGCATTTACATTTAGTCGCCATTGCAAAAGGTACAACAACTACAGTGCGATCTGTTACAAGTGTGGAATTCACAGATCCAAAATTAATGTTCCCAATGGAAACAGATTTCAATTCAGCATGATACACATCCTGACTCAGTCCTCAGAAAAACACCATACAAAACAAGCAAAACTCACCACTTACGATGGGAAAAAAGCCTCGTTCAAATACTGGCATAAATACCCTCTCTTGGTCTTGCCAGTGCTGCCAGCTAAAACATGCACACCAACAAAAATAATATTGGAGTAACCCAAGACATAGTCAATTATTGCAGCGCCACAACCATTGCAGAAATTTGAATCTACCGACTGGAACACTTTCGGTTAACTTTTGTTTCAGTTGATCAGTATTCTGATAATCGATGCTCAATTGTATGAATAAATATCAATAGTCATAATGAGTAAAACACAAACTTTATTAATGCATATTCTTATTAAACATATTCTTATTTCTACAAATCTGTTTAAATTGCAGAGATACTGTGTTATCGTCTCTGTTTAGCTTTAATGCATGATATTAAATAATTGACCTTTTAATAATAATTAATATGATTTTTATTTTATGTACAGTAGAATTTGAATGCTGTATACTAAAAAATATTTTATTACTGTGTTTTCTCAATTCTAATGTACACCTTTTTTGGAGTTTTTCCAGTCTCTTTAATTGGTTTGTGCATTAGAATCAGGTACAAGGTGAACATATGCAACTTCATTCTTATTTATTGCTTCTCACTCTGCTTTGGAAATTTGTATGTATTATATTGTCAGGAGAGACATGTACTATACGGTCTACAGTGACCATACGTCCTTTATTTAAGAGGACAGTCCTTTATTTCGCTGCTCTGTCCTCTAACTTTATTTATTTTATAAAATAGGCATTTTGTCCTTTATTTTGTAAATTTGACGCAAAGTTTAAAATATTGAACAAGTTACCCCCATACAAAGTCGAAGTTCGATAAAGCTACTGTTATCATCAACATGCCCCACCAAGAGCATCTCAGGTGGCTAGAGGCCACAGCTATCTACAACGCCGGCCAGCTAACCACGTGCGTTAACCAGAAGGAAGAGCTGACTCTGCCTGGCAATCACTGTTGGATGCCAACCCGCAACTTCCTCCTCCACCGCACGACCGCGCATGTCAGAAAGGACCCACTTCATCGGAATGACACCTGATTCCAACAAATAGAATACACTCTGTCCAGGGAATTCCAGTCGACCTGAAGAAGAGCAAAGAGATAGCCGAAAACGTTTGTCAACAGCGATATACAGAATACATGCATCACACACCGGTTACAGGTTCCGGATAGTGTATAAACTTGTGAATTTTATAAGGTATTTTTTTTTTATTTTCTTTCTTCGATATGTCCTTTATTTTCCTCCAAAAAATATGGTCACCATAACTATACCACATGTAGACATGGTACATATTCCACTTGACTCCCACTATTTCAGTTTTGGTTTTAAATTAATTTGTTGGTCTTCTCAACTACAGCATGCCAAAAGAAGGGATAGTTTCTATATTTATATAAACTATACTCAACAACTCTGATTTTTTGCTGAAAAAAATACAGAAATTGGTGTGCTGTATTAACTATAAAGTTAAGTTTAATTAGAGCGTTATGTCATGCTGAAGATCTATACAAATATTTCAATGTAACCTCTAGTTGTCTAATAAATTTTATTCTTGTGAATACTGACATAAAATCTAACTGTTAAAATGTTGATCGTACAGTAATTTTGACTGAGTTTTGTGTTGTTTAACAGATCCTCTAAATCTGATGATTGAGTCATAAATGAATGCATTTGGAAACATGAACATCGTGAAACACTATAAATATGAAAACAAAACAGTTTAAAAAAATGCATTTATTACTGTTTGATATATTAAATTTTTCAGTTATTTGTTTGGTGATATAGGGTGCTCATTTCATTTGCAAGTTAAACATTTTTGGGTTTTGACATCTCAAAAATTGGATATGCATTATATTCAGTGATGCATTAGAATTGAGAAATCACAATAATTATTTTATATATTAAAATAATATATTAAAAGTTTCAATATATGAAAGTAAATTTACAATGTTAATAATTTTTAAAATATTTATATAATAATATTTTAATGTAGGAAGACAATTTAGAGCTCTTGGATGAAATTAAAATTGCAAAGAATGAATTACAAAATATTCAGAAATCTATAGAAGTTGAAACAGAAATTTTAAAAGAATTAGAAAATAATAGAAAAAATGTTTTAGAAAAATATCAAGAGGAAGAACTAGAAATTAATAATTGTTTACAAAAATTAAAAAATGATTATCAAGATAAAGCAAAAGAGAAAACTGAATTGAATGAAGAACTGCATTCTCTTCAAAATAACATTTCTGAAATTAAAACAAGCATTGAAAAAGAAGAAAAAATTTTAATTGATTTAATATCTGAGAAAAGGGGACTTCAAAATGAATTAACTATTTTAAAAGGTGATTTGAATAAATATCAAGAAAAAATCCAGTTATTACAAGAAAAATCGGTTTCCAATGTAGATAAATGTGTAGATACATACGAACTCTTCTATGACGAGGGTGATAAAACTACAGAAAATATAGAATATAAAATTGATGAATATATTTCAAAAGAATCTCCTAATGAAAATTATTCACTAAATGAACATGAAGACATTAAGGAGTTGCAAAGCTCTTTTATTGAAAAAGAAAGTAAAGTTGAACAATTAGCCTTAAAAATGGATACTCTTGAAAAAGCTTTCAAGTGAGTATTCTTTTAGATTTAATTAGAAAAATAGATTTTTTCTTCATAACATAATAATGCAAACAATAAGTTTTATATATAAATATCACTTCTATGAAAAAATTTCTTATTTCATTAATATTGATTTTAGATCTATTTCAAAAATTACTTTAAGTACTAATTAACAAATTATCTTAAATAAAACTTGTGCAAAAATGTTCAGTATTTTGTAAATTTTCTTAACTAGAGTACACTCACTCAGCACTTGTATGTAAATCAAAAAACACAACACCTTAATTTGCTGAGAAAAACTTTTAATGAAAAGCAAACGTTTTCAGCCAAATCATGATGCATGCATTAATTCTAGGGATGCTGAAGGGTTGCCTTCCGCCTGGAAGCACTTAATCAAGCGATTGGACAGATCTTAATGCCTTGTTTATAGTGTTTTTTTAGCATATCTTGCGTTTCATAGAATTTAGCATAATGTATTATTATGTTACGTTTTTAATGTTTAATTATCCTATGCTTATTTTTCATATACATATTTTATAATAAGAGTTTTTATTTTATTTTATTTTTCTTTATACATTTATATATATATTT